ATTTCATAATAAACTGTGAACAACTCCAAAATGTAAGGCATAATATACTTCTAGAAACAGTTGTTGTACAAAACAGTCTTGGAATTCAATTTAATGAACTATTGGACAATGAAAAGTTGCAAATAATTCTGGACATCACACCGGTAGCAACATCAAGAAAACTCTCTCCAGCCAGTGTAGAAAAAGTAGAACGCCTAACTAGACGCTTGATATACCAGCTACATATAGCCCGTATTAAGATAGTATGCGGATGATAATAATAAGGATAATGACTTTAAAAGGAAAAACTAACCACTTCCAAAATAGAAGAAACAATATCTTTGCCACAAAACTCATATACTAGTCAATTTACAGAGTGAAAAATAATGAACCTATTTTACCATATACACATACTAGTGGTGACATTTTATTAAAGTGTGCGATCTTATATCAAAAATATTTTAAATTATATATAGCCAACAGAATTTTAAGCAATATATGGATTATATCACACAAAGGACTTTTCAGAAGAACAGAATGCTTTTAACAAACATTTTATAAATATTGCCCCGAAAGATAGCCTATCAACATCTAAATCATACAAATTTGATAGTAATAAGATTTATGAGGAGGTAGCAGCAAAAGTACCTCAAGATACTTGGTTTTACATCCCCTTGATTACAGTTGCAGAAGTTAAGGACTGCCTTAACAATTTAAATGTTGCAAAAGCTACAGGCATTGATCAGATCAGTCCTCCCATACTTAAACTATCATCAGAAGTTATTTCACCGTCAATAGCTTATATTATAAATAGGAGTATCACTGCTGGTATATTTCCTTCTGAGCTTAAAAATGCCCCTGTCATGCCCAGTCATAAAAAAGGTCCTAAAGATACTGTCGACAACTATAGACCAATATCTATTTTGCCTACTCTTTCAAAGATTTTTGAAAAGCATGTCTGCAAACACCTATACCGATACCTATTAAAATATAAGCTCCTTCATGCAAGTCAGTCTGAATTTAGAAGCCACCACTCTTGTCACACTGCTTTACTAAAACTTATTGATCAGTGGTTGAAAGCCATTGATGATGGAGAAATTATAGGTATTATCTTCCTAGATTTTAAAAAAGCATTTGATCTGGTAGATCACATTATCCTTCTTCAAAAACTGCAGTGCTACAAAATTTCAAATTTATCATGTAACTGGTTTAAATCATATCTATCTCATAGATTCCAACAAGTTGAAAATGGGACAATCAAGTCAAGGGCACTAGAAATAAAATCTGGAGTACCTCAGGGCTCCATATTAGGCCCCCTTTTATATTTATTGTTCATTAATGATTTGCCCCTTCATATAACCTCATCTCAAGCAGACCTCTATGCAGATGATACTACCATTCACTGCACAGGTCGTAGTCTCAATACCATCCAGGACAGCATTACAAATGATTTAGACAGAATTGAAGAATGGTGCAAGGGAAATAAGATGTATATAAATCCAACAAAAACTACATCTATGGTTATTGGTTCTAGACAGAAACTAGCAAAAACAGACCATGTTCTTAATTTGACTGTTGGTAACTCCCACATTAGAGATGTTAATGGCGAAAAGCTCCTAGGGGTTTTTATTGATGAAAATCTTGAGTGGACAGCCCAAATTGACACTTTGTGCACAAAAATCAGTACCAGGCTAAATCTTTTGTCTAGGATAAAGAAATCCCTCCCCCTGGAAACACGAAAGTTATACTTTAATGGTTATATTCTCCCTATTTTGGATTACTGTTGTACAATTTGGGGAAACACCAGTGACCAAAATACAAATAGATTAGATAAACTTCAAAAACGAGCAGCTAGAATTATTCTTGAACTTCCTTATGATACCCCATCTAATACAATGTTTAAAAATTTATCATGGCTTCGATTTACTGATCGTGTAATTTACCACAAGGCCTTATATGTTCATAAATGTTTATATGGATCTGTCCCAGAATATTTGTCTAACAAAATCTCCTATGTTACAAATAAAAACGGAATGCAACTTAGATCAAATACTACCCAATTACTTAATATACCAAAGGCAAGAACAAACACATTTAGAAGATCTTTTTCATATTCTGGCCCAACTTTATGGAATAAACTACCAGAAGCACTAAGACACATGTCAAACATAAATACTTTTAAAACAGACTGCTTTAAGTTTTTACTTGAAAATCCAGGAATTATTTAAATGATTATGTATCAATTTTGATTATGTTTTCTTTTGTTTATCTTTGTTATGATGAAATTGTGTGATGCATTGTGAGTGGAGTGTGAGGGCCTCAAGGGAGAATAGTGTTTACTAATTGAGTATACCCTCTTGAAATAAAGATTATTATTATTATTATTATTATTATTAAATAACTTTTAAACAATACTTTAAAATATAGCTTTTAAATCATGAGGAAGAGGCACTCATTCTTTTATCATTTTACCGTTATACGAAAGCAAATGATTTTATGGAATAATGTTGTTGATATCTTAAAGAAATGAGTTATACTTTTAAAGCATACCCAGCTACGCATACAAAACGGTTAGGGGAACCGAAACCAAATGTGAATTTCAATTACGGACCCTTTCAAACTTTCATCGATGTTGTAGTTGACAAAGTTTCAGGTCGTCTTGAAAATCCAAATGACCCAACAAAGGCCATTTCACAGGCAACCCAAATATTCGACACTGGTGATTGGCCAAGAGATCGTCAGGAGTTAGCAATGTATGGCCCAGAACAATTAAGATTGATGGATGAGCATTTTGGTCAATTCTTAGTTAACATCGGGTGTGACAGGGGTCAATTGCAACAAGAGTGGAATGGATGCAAGTAAAAGCACATCTCGGTAACAGGCGGGTTAATAACTTTATCCCAAAAATCAACTCTCTGTTCCTGGATAAAGGTGGATGTTTTAAAAACATTCTTCTGCTTATTGAAATCATCCTTGTACTGCCCATAAGTAGTGCTATTTGCGAAAGGGGATTTTCTGCCGTCAAACGAATAAAAAGTGACTGGCGATCTAACCTCAATACCGAGACAATGAATCGACTTTTGTTAACTTCTATCGAAGGCCCTCCACCTGAGGACTACAACGCAGAGCGAGTTGTGCATGCATGGTGGAATGGTGGCCAACGAGAACGAAGGCTTCAATTTGATGGCGATGCAAACGGTCAACTTGATGAGGAACAGCTTCTTGACTTCATGATGAATGTGGTTTAAAACATTAACAATAAAAACTTGCAGTTGTACACTTCTACTCCTAGTACTCCATTTATGTGTATAATTTTGAAATGACTCAGAAAACTGAATGATAGTTTGATCTAAAAATTAACTCAGTGACTAATTGTGTCAATTATAAGAATACTCCAAATGTAATTATATTTGAAAATGTATGGTTCATTAAATTGTTTCAAAGTTTAAATTATATTCTCGATTCAACTATAATTAAAAAATCAGTTCATGACACATCATGCATGGCATTGACAAAGTCTCTAAGTCTTCTTGAGTTGAAATTCTGGTAAGTAGACTGCTGGGATTCCGGAAATATTATTGACTTCTCAATTCATCAATATTCATACTCCATATTCAATTTACAACCCATATACATGATAACTATATTTTATCTGCATGTACTACATTACAACCACAAAAATAGCATGTAAAAGTTTGGGCATGTAGATTTCACTTTCGGACAAGTAAAAGTAATAGGGCACTTGCCCAACTGAACAAGTTTGTATAAAAGTTAATGTCAAACCCTGTGAAACATGTGTATATATATAAAGAAAGAAAAGAATTTTATAGTGACTTGACTTTTAATCATCCTACGATAAGCACAGAAACATTTTAATTATAAAACAAAGGATTTTTAATATAAGTGGGTGTGGGAAGGATTTCACTGTATATATAGAGCACTGCAACATATTGGTGGAAGCATCACTGTACATAGAAATTACAGATCACAAGTTCCAGCCCTCAATTAAGTCTACTGAAATGGTTGCCTGGGCGTCTTTAAAAGTTGATTGGCGACCAAAAATTCATAACTGGTCGCCATTTAGGCTATTAGAATATTGAAAATCTGGCGACCGTAATTTTTTGGAAATTTTGCCCTGATCGGAGCCGGGTTTTAAATAATCGTCTGAGCACTTGACAGTAACACAAATGTTTACTGTATTTCAAGTGCCTTTTAGATATAAGCTTGATCTTGTCAGCGCTTTATTGCATCAGGTAATTGTAGTTCATTTGTAAGCAATTTTTTGTCGATGACTGAAAATGGCAAAGATCTATCTATCTTCATATTTCCGCACTTAGTCACAACGTTGACTATTGTGTGCCATTAGAAAGAAAACCATTGGCATTTATAGATTGTGTTTATTAAAAAGCACATGGTCAAGCCTCGTTCTCGATTTTGTCAGTAAACTGATGGAAACAAGGTCGGCGACAATTTTGTAATTTGTTCGCATAGATTCAATAAAATACCAGCTACCATTTCGGCAAACGATTACAGATGTTCACTTGACCGATGGGGCAATCACCAGTGCTTCTGCACAAGTCTGATGAGATTTTTACTAGACTGGGGCTCTGGACTATCAGTTAACGTCGCAGACTGTTTTAAAACATGTACAAAGAATATAAAATTAAATAAATCATGTGGTTATTTTACAGTTGATTTATACGAACTATTTTCTACACTTGACAGCAAAAAAACACAGAACAAAAACTTAATACTTTTATTTCACAAGGGTTGTTTAGCTAGAAAAAAAATGTAGGCAACCTGAAATTATTTCCTGGCCACTGAAGTTTTGAGATGGCCACTAAATTTTCATGTCTGGTGGCCAGTTTGCAACTTCATTTCAGAGGCTACTTTGAGGGAGTTCAACATACTAGCGTATGGTTCCTCTACAAAGGGGGTTAAAGATACAGAGGTAAGGTATCATTTATGATAATGAGAAGTTGCAGTATTTCACAATGCTAGATACTGTGTGAATATAAAACCTTGCATGTGAACACGTTGTTAACAGCTAATCTTTCTGTTATATCTTTTGATAACCCAGCTCTTCGAAGCTTCTTATTTGACATTTTTGTTCGAACGGAAAAGCGCGCCAAATTTGTTCGGAACATCTCGATCAAGAATATAATACCGGTACAAGGACGGACAAAATCCGGCATACGACAATAATTAAAATCATATTCGACAATATTATTAAATTTTACCAGCTTAATTTGATTTTGACTTCATAAATCTAGTGAAAGTATGGAAACATGTGCCCTTAATCACAACTTTTAAACAGTGTAAAAGGAATGATATACCTGATGATTTTAGAAAAATTGAGGCTTATTTCAGTCAGTTAACCTGAGACTACTATAACACAGAGATTGGTCACTTCCCAATATTTATTTTCGTGGCTATCCAAATTTGTGGTTTTGCCAAAAATTTGCATATAAGTTTATATTAAACTGTATTTCGTTGAACATTTAAATTCGTGGTTTAAACTTTACCTTCACCCACGAAATCCACGAAAATTGGTATCCCGCGAATACTGATAATGTATCCCGGCCATTATGATTAGGGGACGACCATTTGATATTCTGGTGGGGGGGGGGGGGGGGGCAGGAGGATTTGTTTTGGATCGGTTATTTATTTTTGTAAACTAAGAGGACAGATTATCTATTTTCTGCACTATTGAAGCAAGATTTTCATTTTCATTAAAGCAAGGGACTGATTATTTATTTTCACAACTATATTTATAATATTCGAAAACATACAATTTTTAAATTATTTGTTAATTATAAATAATTCATGTATAGTCAAGTCATTATGTACCATTTAATCAGAATTAATTATTATCCTCTACAGAAATGAATCTTCTATATTCCCCAATGCATATACATGTAATGCATACATACACAGTATTAAAGCCTAAGTTTGGTTGTAACTAAGGCTATTTTAAAAGTATTGGCAAACATGTTTTGCCGAGCGGAGCGAGGCAAAATTTTTTTTGAAGGGTTTTTGTACCGCTGTAGGCCCAAGAAGCTATAGAACAAATGATGCAAAATCATGCCTTCTGGGTGTTCCCCAGACCCTTTCTTAAACTGAAAATGCAAGTTCTGTTTTAATAATTTTATGACAATATTTTGGTCTCAAAGCAAAATCACGTTTTAGATTCAGTGTAAGACTTAAGTTTCTAGGAACAACATCAAAAGACAAATATGCATGATAAAGCAAAAATGTAATTCACATAGTTAAGTCTGTGGCTGCTGTGTTTTTTTAAACTCATGATCAAGTTAATAATAAAATTACTAAATTACAAAATGAATGCAACACTAACAGAATACAGAAGGGCAATCAATGAACAAAAGACAAATAAATAAGAAACATTGATCCCGAAAAATCAGGGGCTACGTCTGAGGGAGAACAGAACTTGCTTCTTGCAAGGCACTCACGGTGAACACAATTTGATATGGAGACAAGCGTTTGGTTTTGAAATTTCCTACATGAGGCATTTGTCTCAATGTAGTTACGGCCCTGATTTAATAAAAGTGAGGTAAGTGTTCCTGAGACAATTAACCTCAAGTTAAATGAAACCAATTTTCTGACATTTCAAGTATATTTAAATAATATTTATACTTTTATTATTAAAAGATATGGGAAGTGTTTACCGATTTTTTTTTTGGAAAAAAGATGAATATATGAAGAATCTGGTGCCATCTCATACTTTCGATTAGACCTGCTGAGTTATTTATTTTCAATACATTGCAAGTCAGGTAATTTATTTTCAAACTACAACAGAACAAACCATTTATTTTTGTGATTATCAAGGCTGAGTTATTTATTTTCAAAATCCTCCTGCCCCCCCCCCCCCCCCCCCCCCCCCACAGAATATCAAATGGTCGTCCCCTTACAACCTTTCAAAAATATATGTTATTTTGTTCATCTTTTGTGGATAGGAAAGAGACAACTTTTTAAGGTGGTACCAAACACCTTGACTAAAATCAATTTGGCTCGTTTAATATTCATAAAATTTTGACTAAATAATTGCTTTGACCCTTTGACAAAAATATAAAAATTTCAATAGAACTGGATTAAAACGTTCAGCTGATTTTTACAGAGTTATCTCCCTGTAGTGTTATGTACCACCTTAATCACATTTTTTTTCGATATTAGTGTATAATTTTATATATATATAATACGCCGTAGTATTTTTGTAACCGCATTTCTAATCATGAATAAACAAGTTTTTTTCTCAGAATCCAAGCTAATTCAATAGCCTGTATAGGTGTCACACCATCAATTAAATCAATCACATTTAAAACGTAAACTTGAGAACACTTTCTCTGACAAAACATAAAGTGCATTTGATGTTGATGCTTTCTAACATTTGCAAATGAATTTACATGAAGGAAGCTTTTTCTAAATGAGAAATGTATTTTTGCGCTCAAATATACTTGTCCATGAAGTCAGTAAGATTTTCGGAAAATCGGAGTGCTATATTTAGTAGTATGAGACTTTCGGATATACATGAAGTGAAACTAAAATGAGATCAAGTATTTAGAGAGACGTGAAAATTAATGATAACATTGAAAAACATTACAGATCAAATAATGGGCTGTCAAATTAGCACAAAAACAAGAACTCCCGGTCATCAGAATCAGGACTCCACTGAAAAGACAGAGACAGATATACAACGGAAAAAATATACAATAAAGGACATATCGATTCATAATAAGTCAAAAGGATTTATAGATATCTTTCCATTCAAAAACAAGGTGTACTCGACTAGTAAATTCAAGGACGCAATGAGAAGTGTAGTAAAACAGATATATGCCGAGATATTTAAAGACGGGGATCATATATTCATGTACAATGTTGACGTCTATGAGGAGTTTTATGATATCTGGAAGTACTCTCCAATCTATTTAGTTTTATTCAAATATGAAAACATGTATTTAAGTTTTTCAGACATTAAAGATGAGCTACCGGTGTGCAACATTGCAGACGTTATCGACAACGGTGAATTATCAAAGGATTTAGTTAAAGATTCCACTATGATTCTGGACGATTTTAAGGGCGATCCAAAAATCACTGAATACAAAAAAGAGTATCAAGACTTATTACAAAGATTTCTTAGTTTCACAAAATCACATAAACCTAATGGGCGGGTGTCAAACGCGAACAGACAGGATCCATACACAATAGCATTGACTTGACCGCTCTACGCAAATGGACAGAAACCTGGGAACTTTTCGATACCGACGTACCTACAGACGGGGCATGGCCAATACTTCCTGACAAAGTTGTTACTGTACCAACTGATATAAAGCTTGAAGATTTAGAGGGACTTCCAGATTTTGACTTTACGATAGAGGGAGAGGCAGCTTGGGTCGTAATTGAACTTGACATTGTAAAAAACGATAAGACAACCGAAGAACAGGAAAGAGTGTGGCGATCTCGTGAAAACAGGACAGATCTTAATGATCCTATGTCTTCATTGAGTAGGCAAACTGAAACTAGACTTGAAATGTATTTTATTCACAAGTATGAGTGGGATAGTTCGAAACTAGATCCCTATAGAAGATTTACAACAAGACTTCAGAAAGCGTGGACAGAATTCCAGGCCCTTGTTGAAGCAGATTAATGTATGATTATGCAGTCAGAGGACGAGTATTTCAGCTTTATTTTTATAAATTTCAAATACATTTATGTTAGTTTTATTTAAGAATTGAACGCTTCTTTTTATAATTTTATTGGGGTGTAAAGGAGTGTACCGAAGCAAATTTTGTATGAAGCGTAGAAGCGCTTAATTCATTCTAAAAATGTGCGCACAATCAACGCTTTTACAAGATTTTATAAGCCAAGTTATAAAAAGAAGCATTCAATTCTTTAAATTACATTTTTATGCTACACAACAACCATGAAATTAAGAGTTATATCAAGCTTTTCGTCGGGTTTTACTATGCATTATTCTAACATTGTCACGGATAGCACATGCAGTCACATAGCTGTTGTATTTTATACGGAGATACAATTTATTATCATTGGAGCGTCTAACGATTGTTGTCAACCAATCAAAATTACGTATTCTGATGAAACATACATGTAATGTTATTATTTCAAAATATATTACTTCTTTTTTTAAAAATTGATCAGTTAAGGTATGAAAAAAAAAATCAATCCGTACAATTTACCAAAAATCCACTCTTTTTTGGCCCCTTGAATTCGAAAATAAATCAACCAAATAAAATATTTAAGATGTTCATAAGACTCATATATCAGTACATGTAATTTTTAACTTTGACTTGCATATTTGAATTTTAGCTTCAAAGGTCTTTCGGTTAGTACTACTTCGGGGGTGTTTAACGACCTTGGTTACCAATAAGGGTTTCCCACGGTCGGTTAATTTCATCTAGTGCAAACTGCAAGAACTGCCAGTGCCAAAAAAGCCTCAATTGAAGATTATTAATATTAAGATTTGAGTCGAGGCTTTAGCCAAGAATATATATTTTGCAACAAGATGTACATTTGTGTAAAATATCTTTTTGGGTACAACCTTGGTTCATATCTATTTTCGTCCAAAAACTTTGTGTAAAATAACCATTATAGGTGAAATATTTCAATTTCAACATGTCTATGACACCGTAGTGACATGTCTGCAGTTAAGTGTTCAGATTATATCAACCAGCTGTTCATACCGCCCCGCCGGTGGTCGTCTCGAATGCGGGACGTTGTAGGTTCGACCTGGTCAAACCAAAAGCTTGAAAATTGGTACGGCATCTAAGAGTATATGAGCAAAGACTGGTGGCAAGGTTCCTGACTTGGGACAGGTAAATGAACACGTCGCGGTTAAAAAAATGGAGAACTCAACTAACTTTTTTTAGATATCATTCAGTGGAATAAGAAAAGGAACATTCAGGAAGGTACAAGAAAGACAATTTGAAAGAAAAATATATCATCAAATAATTAGATTATAATACAGGTATTTAAGACAATAAAAACACAGGCGCAAGCAAAATAATAAATACAAATACCATATCAAAGAATGGTCGCCGTTACAGAAAGCAAGCTTCATGTACTGAACCTACATATATCCAATAATACAGTTCTACACACTGAAGTCGTGGTGTCAACGTATATTTGTTCCGCCTAACAGAAGTTCCACTGGAAACTTTGTTATAAACAATGTCATAATATCTATTCCTGTTGGAACAAATATTCTGTACTATTTATTCCGTTAGGAACATATACTGTAATATTTATTCCTGTGGAAATAATATTTCAGAATATATATTCCTTTTGGAACTTATATTATGAAGGAACTTCTATTCCGTGACAGTTTGACAGATAAGTCACATCCGGTCTGATCGGGGTTGTAAAATGCGCAAATGCACGGGTTGTGAAAACTGCATAGGTTTCGAGCATCAGCTATTCGGAGTGGACTGAAGGCGTCATGCATGGCTATTAGGCTGGATTTCTTGTTTATATTTACACTCTTATTTTTTCATTTCCTTTCCCCGGTCTACCTACTTTTCAAGTCCTGCTGATGAGCTGTATTAAGTATCGAAACCCCGTGAGGTATTTGTAACTGTACGCTACAATAATAACCGATCACTCATGTTTTGGGTAGAAACACTGCACCTTTCATATGAAGCATACTTTTACGCATTTAAAACATGAGAATACATCTTAGTCATAATTCTTGAACATAACAATTGGCAATGGAAACTAGTTTTGAGTTAGATCTCAAATCTTCTCCTTTTAATCTCGAAGAGTGAAATAATGTATACTAAAAATCAGTTCAGAAAACACACTTACTCTATAATACCAGACAACAAAACACACAGGTGCAGTAGTAAATAATTTCATACATATAATGTTCGAAGTTGCTGACAGGAAGCTGTAACGGTACTTAGCTTATTGATATGAAAATATGCCGTGTTATACTTTGCGTCTCGTTATATTAACGATCTTCAAGAAGCCCGATGCTATGGTTGGTTAATCCTCTCTTCACGACAAATATATTGTTGTTTCAGCAGACAAAGCCTAAAACAAGAACTTAATGAGTATTCAAAGCAGAAAAGGGAAACCATATAAACCCCTACATCATTGACGTAAAGGAAACCACAAATCCGTCCTTCTCCTTTGGTATACAGAGAAAGAAAAAAGGCTATATAAATCTATCTTTATACTGAATACCTTTACTTCACAAAAATCCTGATAAAGAAAGATATATAGCCGGGTCGTCAATAACTTCAACCAGAGATCCTTCTCAAGTTCTTACCACCATTCTTTCTACAGTGTGAAATATTGTATTGAGATATAATTCGACCAGCGGTATCAATCAGAAGTGGATTCTTAAAAATTCTAAAAATCTACTCCTAAATCTTCAATCACAGTCAAAAACCTTTGATTTTTCTAAAAAAAAAAACCATTCCTGTTTCCCATGCGCAATTAAAAGATGGACTACGTTGTCTTGTTAAACTTTTTTTTTTGTGATTCTAAAAACAAATACACACAAGTTGATATAATCAAAATGCTGGACTTTTTAATCGACAACATATTTGTTGAGTTTGGTAGAATGATATTTCAGCACACAGTCGATATTCCAATGGGCATGCACTTATTATGCAACGCTACTAGCCGACTTGTCAAATTTTAGTACTCATATGGAGAAGAATACAAACAGAATCTTCTCAAAGACAAAAAGAAAAAGCATCTTCCATAATTCTTTAATTTCCCTTTCAGATAAATTGCTTGTACCTTTGATTTGTCTCTACCTAATAGATTTACGAGATTTGAGTATTGGTAAACTATTGTCGTCTTAATATACCAAATATCTTTGTATATATTTATCAAAAGTATAGCTCAGATAAAGAAATCATGCATTAGCTTAACTTCTTCCTTCCAACATCAAGTCCCTTAATAGTACGGAGTCCGTTCAAGAACTAATGCTGGACGGATTGTACACAGAAATGCACAGCCGCGCCCTATCTGATCGGGGTCTGAAAGAGTGCCTCTCAACCTCAAATTTCCGAGCATCAGCTTTTAGGTGTTGTCTGTAGATTACATAAAATTGAGAATGGAAATGGGGAATATGTCAAAGAGACAACAACCCGACCAAAGAGTAGACAACAGCCGAAGGTCACCAATGGGTCTTCAATGCAGCGAGAAAATCCCGCACCCGGAGGTGGTCCTCAGCTGGACCCTAAATAAAATTGTGTGCTAGTTCAGTGAAAATGGACGTCACACTAAACTCCAAACCATATAAATGAACTAAAATTAAAAAACATACAAGACTAACAAAGGCCAGAGGCTCCTGACTTGGGACAGGCGCAAAAAATGCGGCGGGGTTAAACATGTTTTGTGAGATCTCAACCCTCTCAAATGCATGTTTTTAAAGCCTGGATTTAATTCTGGATTTTGACCTCGTTTTCCTGTATACATATGACACTCCTGCCTCCGGTCTATCTACCGATAATCTGTTAATCCATATATCAATTATTTCATGTACTGAAAATCCATGAAATATTTGCCACTGGACATTACAAACGACGACCAATCAACCAATTAATGTTTATAATAGAAACAGTTGCAACTTTTAAATGAAGCATCATTAAACACATTTTAAGCATGACAAAACATTTTAATAATATTTCTTTCAATGGCGACAAAAATACCAATGCATGGTTGAAATGATATTAGTTGGGTTTTAAACTTAATGAAATCATGTATGTCATATACGTTCTAAATTGTTGTCCTTAGAGATAATGTGTAAATATATTAGAAATTTAATATAAGTAGCGTTCAAATAATACAATACTTCAGTTATTTAAAGAGAAAAGATTCGTTCAACCAGGACAATATGTCACTAATATTTTGTGTATTGGGATATTCATATTTGTGTTATCACCACTGAGAAATTAAAAAATGATCAGCTAATTCGATATTTGTCTTGATTAAATTAATCTGGTAAGTTTTAGTATACTTGAGATTAAATAGCTTAACAGTAATTTGAACTGACTTGCTCATTATCGTTTAAAACTCGAGTTTGATAATCCTATAAATAACAATATGGAAAGTCACTTCGAGCTAAACAATGCAAGGTATGTCAAATTTAAAAGTGGCGATTATAGTAGGGGTGAACGAGAAATTTTACTTCTATAAACAAATAACAATTTTCTGTTTTTCGCATTCAGCAAAATAATCCCGACAAAGCATCTAGTTACGCACGATCAAATGGTGACGCAGTATATATCATTGAGACACCTATACTAAACAACACAAAGAAAAAAACAACAAACAAACAAATGACACTCTACATTTTGCCCTGTGTGTCAGTAACTTTCAGAGTCTGAGACATTAACCTACTCAAGAATTAAACACCAAACAGTAATAAAACAGTCATACTTTGAAGAAAACATCTTTATAAAAAATAAAGATACGATAGCACTACCAATGAGACAACTATTAACCATAAACCAAAGGTCGAGGATGCAAACAACTATAAGGCAGTATACGACCTTCAGCAATGAGCAAAACCCACACCCGGTACTGTAAAATATATAATATTTCAAATAGATGAATGGTGTCAAAACTTTGACAAAAATATTAAAATAATATTTACTTTTGCGGAGAACAGTTTTATTTTGATGCATCTAGACATTTAAAAATACTTGTATGACATTATTACGCAATAAGTATATATTTATAATACGGGTATGATTGTATGGAACAATAAATCCGCTTTATCAATGATTAAGCAAGGATTTTGTCTGAATCTAAACGGATTTAATCGCCCATGTAGATATATTTACACATTCCAATGATCATCCATACACATATATACATGTCTGTTCATATAACAAACATAACAATGAACCTAATTTACAGGTCAAGTAATGGGCTGTAAGAACAGCACCTCCACAAAAGTAGAACCTTTTAATCAAACAAGAGAGAACGGTGTTATACCTACCTCACAGCAAAACGGACACATTCCCTCCAAAATATTGGACACACCTAGAGAGACATTGGGTCAACTACCTCATCAGAAGGATACGTACGCTAATAATGCTGTTAACGATACTAGGATACTAGAGAATCAAACTGAGGAGACTCAGAAAACGGCAGAACATGCGGAGGAGGAACCAGATGAAACAACCGTACAGCCGATCTCACTAAATCAAGATACCGTAACGTCAGGAGAACATCCGAACGAGACAGGAACAAAATTCGAGAATCAGAGCGAAACAGGAACGCCTCGTGATCTGACAGCAAGATCATCCGGTGATCAGAGTCAGCGCTCTACAAGCAGGGAACCCGTTGTAGTCCCTACAATGTCAATGGCAGAGGAAGATCTATTACGGACTAATTATACGATTAAGGACATCTCGATTCATAATGAGTCAAAAGGATTTATAGATATATTTCCTCTTGGAGAAAATGTGTACTCGACTGCCAAATTCAAGGACGCCATGAAAAATGTGGTAATACAGAAATACGAGAAATTTAAAGAGGAGGAAAAGAAAGTTGATGATTATGACTATCAAGAAGATTTTTATAAAAACTGGAAGAGCTCTCCAATCTTTTTAGTTTTATACAGATATACAAAAATGTTTTTAAGATTTTCAGACATTAAAGCTGAGCTACCGGCGTGTAAAGTGGCGAACGTTGTCGACAACGATGAATTAACTAAGGATATAATTAAAGATTCCACTACAATTCTAGACGATTTAAAAGGCGATTCAAAAATAACCGAATACAAAAAGGAATACCGAGACTTATTACAAAGATTCTTAGATATTTGTAAAAAATTAACAACTGGAGACGATAGTTTCAACGATTCACACGGACCTAATGGACGTCTGTCAAATATGACAGGACAGGACCCGAATACAATAGAATTTCCTATACCAGACACAATACAAGCTGACTTGACAGTTCTACGCAAATGGACAGAAAAATGGCAACCTTTCGATACGGACGTGCCAACAGAAGGGGCATGGGCAATACTTCCGGACAAAGTTGTAAATGCACTAACAGATCTTATAGAACTTCAAGACTTTTGTCGAATATCTTCGGACGGACTCCCGGATTTTGACTTTACGATCGAGGGAGAAGTAGCTTGGCCCGTGATTGAACTTGACATTGTGAAAAACGATACGACAACCGAAGAACAGGAAAAAGTGTGGCGGTCTCGTGAATATCGGACAGATCTAAATGATCCTATGTTTTTATTGAGTAGGCAAACTAGACTTGAAATGTATTTTATTAACAAGTATGAATGGGATAGTTCGAAATTAGATCCATATCGAGGATTTACAACAACACTTCAGAGAGGATGGAAAGAATTCCAGGCTCTTGCTGAAACAGAGGAATTTACGGTTATACCAGAGGACGAGTATTAAAATATTTGAAAAATGTGCATGTTAAATTTATTTTTTATATCGCTTATCTCGGCGTCTTTTAAAACTGACCAGATATAGCATCAGGTAGTTCTGATATAAAGTTTTAATATTTTTGATAACCCATGCAGATGATTCACGCTATGATAAGTGATATTGTGTTTGAACGGGCACAGGACGTTTGCGCTTTTTCACCTGTAACACGATAGGACATTTGCGCTCCAATTGCGCATTAAATTTTTTAGACACCTGTATTAAATTGACCGGACATTTGCGCTTTTTACCTATAGTTGTCTACCTGTAATTTTAATGAGTTGTAATCATTACGTAGATAAATTCAACTCATATTTGTGGGTTAGTTAGTTCACATTGACACAGTCTTAAACATAGAGTTTAAGTAATAGTTATACACTGAGGGATAGGTGTGTCTGGATAAGAAACCCCGACGGCCGGAGGCCGGAGGGGTTTCTTATCCAGACACACCGTATCCCGAAGTGTATAACTAACTTACACCCGATTCTAAACCCTATATTTGTTTTCATTGAATATTAAATGAAAAAGAAGGGATAGCATTTTTTTGACAATATCAAACCATGATTACTAAGAATTTTTTTTTAAATGAAACCCCACTAGTAACCTTACTTTGACGGTCTTCATTCGAACTTTGACAAGTGAGTAGATTTGACAAATGTCAAAGTTGCCGTTTTGCATATTCCCGTTAAATTCATGTGCTATTATGGATCAGCAGGTCAAGGTTGGCCATATCGTGCATTCTTAATACAAAAAAATACATCATGCTCCTTGTATGCAGTTGTCAATATGGACGGGTATGAGACGGACGACATTTTGAGTCAGACGTTGGATTTGGCAGAATAGTCTAAAGATAACGCAATATTTATAACCCATAAAGGTAATCATAAATTTATTTTACATGTAACTTACGGTTTTATAAAAAAAAAGCCCCCCCCCCCACCTCTTCTCAACATTAAACAAACAAACATTCATTTCAAACATACTGAGGAATAGGTGTGTCTGGATTAGAAACTGGACGACCGGACACGCTTAACATACAAAAATACAGATTGCAAATGTTGGAACCCCCCGTTTGCGGGGCAATCCAAAAAGGGGGGTCCGAGCCTTGGAATCCCCCTTTTTTACGATCAATTCTTTTGAATGGGGACATATGGCTGGAACACTCCCCTTCTTTATCCTGGGTTGGCACCCCCTTTTAAAAATGGCTTGATCCGCCCCTGGGTGCCATCATCATCTTCAACAATCCAAAAATTAATAAATTTATTTTTATTATTAAGACTTAGTCTAAATGTAAACTATATGTTTTAATGTATAATTTACATAAAAGTTCCAGGAGTATTTAAATGATTTGTTTTATTCAAAATAGATGTTAAAGATTTATTTTGCTATTGGAATTTCGTGAAATATGTTTTTTTTTTAATTTGTCTTGAAACAACTTGTAGTGAACACTATTCGCTATTCGTAATGTCTTGTGTTCATGCTATTAAAAAAAAACCAATTCATATTGTTATGAATAACGATGGACTGTGTTTTCGGGATGTAGAAGCAGGGGTTTCCAGAAACCCCGCTCGTCATACCCTGTGGTCAAAATCCATTGTTACTCGTAACAATAGATCTATTCAATTTACCCTTGTTTCAGAAATAGAAACTGTGAAGGATAACAATAGAACTGGGGTGTAAAGTTATAGACTAGTAAATGAAAAAAAAATGTATATGTCACGATGGATTCTTATCATTGAACAACAGTCGGTTAATTACAATTCCGACGTTATATTGATGAACATGCAGGGACCTCAGTCAAGAATTGAGAAAGAGTAACTAGAATATTTTTTGAAATGTGAGTGATATACCAGTTAGGCATATTACAAGAGCTAAATTTGTTTATTCCCTGGACTGATATGCATAAAACCACTCAAGTTACGATATCCAATCGTAGTTAATTTATCGTAGAACATGTAGAAAAATCCGTCCGTTCGGAACAAATCTTAACGTAAGAAGCTTTATGCATACGGGCCCTGAGCTTCAGATATCAAGCGAAAACTGACCTTTGATGACTATATGTGTCTTATATATAGCTATATATAACTATATTAATGTGCTATGAAATGACGATTAAACTTTTAACCATAATGAAAATTATTACTTTAACTGTGCCAGGTCAAACCAGGAACATATATATTAGATATACTGTTCCCAGGTCAAACTTACCGATCCTAAGACAGGATAAAATAGGTGGGAAGTCATAAGAAGCAAATATAGTAAAGCGCGAATTTCCTATGTAAAAAGGCGCAAATGTCCTTTTTTAAAAAGCGCAAATGTCCTATAAATTGAAGCGCAAATGTCCATTAAAATAGAGCAAATGTCCTATGACAAAGCGGAAACGTCCCGCGTCGATTTTAACTTTATTTATTTATTTATTAATGAACGAAATGCACATTTATACCCCGAGGTATATTATACCATTCATTTTAAAGGTAACATAGGTGAAAACAAAGATAATTAATGATAGATATGATAGTTATTATTAATTTTGAACATATTTGGAAATTTGAATTATATATTTTTCATATGGAATTCTGAAAAAAAAATAAAGTGATTATGAGAAATCACGTAATAGCTTAAGACATACATGTAACTTAATTACGAATATGTAAGAGTAAATAGTAATTTGTTTCAAAATTTTACAGAATAGGGATCGCTTTAGTAAACAGTTTTAGTCAGTTCGTAAGTTGCTTCAAGGCATAAACATGGAGTTCGTTTGTCAGAAACAAATTGGGGAAAATCATAAGTGTACGATGGATTTACTTTCAGTATCGAAGAAAAATGCATGCGCGCAAATGTAATTAAAAGCTGCGCGCAAACGTAATGATTTTTGCGCGCAAATGTAATGGTAATGCGAGCAAATGTAATGCACCGAACAATACAATACAAATATATACACAATGCAAAACAATCAGTGCAATTTACTTGAAAGGCTGCGGTTTCTCCGCCAATTCTACTAGAATTGCTTTATGGGTCAGTGCATGGTAGTTGAAGGTTAGTTGTCATATACCTACAAGTTTCCATTTGTTTACTTGAAACTATAATGTACCAGTATATTGTAGTTTAATAAATCTCAGTGCACCCACTGCAATAAAATCACAAAAAAGCAGTGGAATGCTTTGATTCAAATATCCTAAAGTAAGACTGGGATAATGTACACAAATGTATATTAGTCCCAGGATCAGATTTACCAGTTTCGTCGTGATTAATTTTCTTGATTGTGATATTACACCTTGCTTCTTAATCGTAAATGTAATGTGTCGCTACTATTGTAATGCAATTGAAAGCAAGCAGCTTATTTATTTTCTTTACTAAAGGAGCCAATGATTGAATGTTATCTTCATATGAAATTATGAAATTAGACCGCTTTGTGGTCTCTTGCACGATGTGAGTGCGTGAGGTCGTGGGTTTGATACCCGATTGATCGAACCTAAGATATGAAGATTGGTATGTGATGCTTCTCCGCTAAGCATGTAGTATTTAGGAATAAGAGCTAGCAAAGACTGGTCGGCCCGGAGTCAGAATAATATGTTAGGTTGACATGTTCTCCTACGAACTGTTACCTTGCCACGGTGAACTAGCACGTTAAATCCAGCTCAGCGTATTGGAATAGAACTAATCGGGGTTATATTCATATCACATTATGTTCTCGTCATGAATATGCATTTAACTTGCCACTGGACGTTAAACGGCCATCAATTATAATCACTATATGTAATTAACCGACTAACAATTTGGTTCGTTTATAGCGTGTTTTCTGGATTTACCTGAATAAATATAGCCTCGATCATTTGAATTTATACATCCCCGGGTTCAAAATATTTGTATATGATTCAAACGTTATTTAAAAAAAAAAATAAATATGAATTTATAAAATAATTGGTTATGCGACCACGACCTTTGCCACACATGATCATTAGAGATCGGGGTCACCCCAAGGCTAATTATCCACTAGATTGTTAAAGATCTTGTGCATGGTTCAAAAGATATTGAACGGAGTAGAAAATTTCAGTCTGTTCTCAATCACTATGACCGTGACCTTTAACCAACTGATCTCCCAAATATATGTCTAGTTCATGCAAAGGGACAATTTCAAGCTACTTTGGTTAAGGTTGTTGCCAATATCAATCTTTAATTGTTGATGTGACATTGGCCAGTAACATAGGGAACTCAAAATCGATAACATACTTCAATAAGGACATTACAGAACTATGTTTATAAATGATTAAAAATATTGTTCAAAGTATGTCTAAAATCACGAAATTTGTCAAAATTCCTGTCCCTTGATTAGTGCTTGTTCCCATCGATTTCTTCATCAGCCTGTCTGCAACCTTTAAAGTTAGGTATGGCCGTAAAAATCAATTGACCACTAACATTTTTAAAGACAAATACATATTCAGAAAACCATTTATTATCTTCAGGGATCGTACCGCTGTTCCTACACCCAATTGATCCGACACCCCATTAGTACGACACCCCGATTGTCCGACACAGGTTGTAATTAAAAAATCTGCTTCGTAGAACCGGTAGACGTGGTATTTGAACTAGTGCCTACCTTCTGGTATGTATAAGAAATACAATATTATGTTTTTCTCATACAACATATGACCTAGCTATTTCATAAAAAAAAAACTACTGCGCTAAACAGAGAATTTGATTGATTGATTGCTGTTTGCTTTACGTTCAGTGGCAAATATTTCATACATGTTCAGGACGAGAAAATAATAACAATAAATACAATAGATAGGTCTTGTAATGTGGAATTAACCGGGATGAAAGGCGTGGAATTCGGACTGTCACTGCCGGAAAATGAAGGTATATTAGAGAGGGACAATCATGCAACACGCCACCTACGAACCCCCAAGGAGTTGTTGGTAGGGGTCTTAACGTCCGTAATGCGAAACACTTTCTCTACACAAGGCATTAGATGTAACGTCCTAATCCTGACCGGACGTGGTTACGTATTTATACATCAGTCCCGCACAGTTAAAACGGACACCGACTTTAGCGGGGTTTTACAGCCAGTCGGAATAAGACCAAAAGTAAAAATATTTCCGCATACCCCAGTCAACCTTGAGGTGAAAGTAATTTGGAGAACAGGCTCTCGTCGTAAAGGAAAATGTCCAGACCGCAATTTACTCTCCGAAACGGTCAAAACTGGAAAAAAATCATTTCCAATAAAAAGAAACTTATATTATCCAAGCATGTTGGTTTCCATGTATATACACTGTACTTGAATTTTAAAATCTTTATATACAATGAACTTGAATTTAAAAATAAAATATGAAAGTCAAAATATCCGTAGTAAAATTGTACAATTGATAATATTTGTTTTTTTTTATTGAATACTTTTTTAAGGTTGTTAAAGTCAATAAAAAGGATTGCATTAGCCGTCAGAATGGACTTACAGTGAATTCTTACTATACATTTGCAACTGGGCGTTAAGCTAACAAAATATCAATCGTGTAATAATGACTGGGAGTGTACCCTGAAAGCAATGATTTTGACTTTGTATTGCATATTCATTAAAAAACAATCACTCAAAACAAAATAATAGTTTAACGGTGTTTTTCTTTCCAGCTAAACAAAAAATCGATAAACGGTCAACAATTTGTTAATCAGTGAACAGCATAAGCAAAAACATTGTGTGAAATAAGGTCATATCTTGGTCTTCTTTAAACCAACAGTATAACCCTTGACAAAGTTAGCTGTGCAGGATGTTTAAATTTGTAGCCATGTCTGGTCAGAATGAGGACGCAAAATGTATTTGCTTTCCCATATCCAATATACCCTCATTTTCCGGTATCATTCAAAATTCCCCGCCCTTCATTCCGGGCGACCCCTATTACAGGGCTTACCTCTCATCCTGAACATGCATGAAATATTTGCCACTGTACGTTAAGCAATCAACAATCAATCAGTATTAGTTCTTTCTTTAACTTATCTGCTCTAGCTTCATACCTATAAGGAGTATTAGCATGTTCTTGTGACATATACAGCATTTGAAGTAATAAATATAGTGGTTTGTATGTTCGGATGTGAAGTATTTTTCATAGCAAAGAAACATTCTGATTTTGTACAAAACTCCAACAACCTTATAATCTTATCGTTTGTCATGTCGAGGAAAATTAAAACATTATGTATTGATAACTCTATTGTATTGTTATTTTCCCCTATTACTATTTACTGTAATATATTTTGAAAACTCAAACAGTCAGCAGATTATCTACGGGAAACGCGCAAAACACTGAAAAGTCGATTACTTGGAAAGGAGATAATTATTGAACCAGTTAACTCACTGTTTGAAAAAGAGCGAAATTGCGGCAAAGCACCTCAAGACAAGTGTTCGGTCTTAATTTCATTCATTTGGGTTTTTTTAACTTTAGTTTGCCTCAACCAAATGTTACGAAACTCATATACAATACTTATTAGCACAAATCAAGTTCGAATTTGGTTGGCGTCACTTCTACTGTTCCGGAGTTAAGCCCCTTATTATATGGAACAATTGCTGAAATTTTCGTTTCCATTCTCTAACTTTAATTGCCTCAATCAAATGTTTTGAAACTTGTACACAATGCTTATTACCACAAAACTCAGATCAAGTTGGAATTTGGGTTGCGTCACTTTTACCGTTCTCGAGTTATGCATCTTTATAACTTTATATGCAGGCGGGGGCATCATGTATGTCCCATGGACACATTCTCCATTTATTTGGTTTTTATCATTTAATATAGATTACCAGAAGCCTTAACAGTTTTCTTTATTTGAGACAGAAAATGGTTTCCTCCTACAAATCCATGATGCTAACAACTCATCTTTTATACCCAAGGTGATCTAGTCCCCATTAATATGCAAGAAATATTGTCCACTGCACTTTAAGCAAACAACTAATGAATCAGTTGTTTGGGTTTGTTGATTTTAGGTTACCTGGATAATAGGGACTGTCACTAGATCACCATGGATATAGAAGGTGTGTTGTTAGCTTTATGTTTTTTAGGAGGAAAACAATTCTTTGTCTGAAATAAAGAAAACTGTTAAGGCTGCTGATAATTTATATCAAATGATAAAAACCAAAAAAAATAACAAATTACAGTCTCTTAATTTCTGCTTTAATCTTTGACCTAGTGACCTAAAAATCAAGTGGTCTTTTTCATCCCAAGGCATATTTAACATCGAATTCCCCAAATTTTAGCCTATTTATAGGTACTGTGACCTTTGACCAACCAATCCAAAAATCATGAGAGATCTTGTTCTTTCTAAGGGTGCATTTCCAAGCTAGGTTTGGTGAACATTGGACATGATTCAAAAGATATCATACAGAATCAAAACTTTTTCTAAATATTCAGATATTAATTGCTGCTATGACCATAACCTTTGACCTATGGCTTGAAAATCAAATATAGGACCTTTTCCCTCCAATGCACATTATCAAACAAAGGTTGAAAAAGATCTTACTCATGGCCAAAAAAATTGTCTGGAAATTTCAGTCTTTCTATGTAGGTAGTAATTATGACCTTTCTCGGACTGGAAAAACATCATTCAAGTCTTCTTTCTAGGAGGCATTATCAAGCTGTTTGGTAAAGGTTGGATATAATATTTCAAAAGATATCATTTGAAAATCAAAATTTTACCATAATTGCAGTCAATTAATTTCTGCTATTTCCTTGACTTTTGACCTAATGATCCCATAATCAATATATGGACCTCATCGTTACACTGAGCATTATCCAACTAAGTTTTGTGAAGGTAAGACCTATGGTTCAAAAGATATCTTCCTGAACCAAAATTTCAGTCTATAAATTGCTGTTGTTATACTGACCTTTGACCTGAAAACCTTTTGGGTTTTTCATCGTTCCATTTGGCATTTTCAAAACAAGTATAAAAAAATTTGACAAGGTTCAAAAGATAATTCAAAAACCCAAATTTTGCTGAAATACGGAGACCTTGACCTTCGACGCATTGATCATAAAGAACAAAATAAGGGTCTTCCTCACCCAAATTGGCATTATAAAACTGAAGCTTGGTAACAATGTTGTTTATGGCTCAAATTTCTTGTCCAGAAACCTGAATTGTTTATGTCCAGACGTCCAGATGTATATATTATATAATAAGCCAAAACACATCCTTTTAACAATCAACAATATATCAATTAGATTGGTTGTGAAAAGTGAATTGACTTTGTGTATAGTAGCCACTTGAAAAGGCAGGGGCAAGGTAAGTATGGTTAAAACGATCTCTTCCAACAAGTTACCATGATCCATTATATCTTTCCTGAATCTTTGTTAAAAGTGCTCTTTAGCATTGATGGGCGAGACAGCCTTGGGGCATCAAATTTAATTTTTGCATTCCATCTGGATGAACCAAAGGCACTTGTTTCTATCCATTGGGAGATTGTATCCATATATAATAGAAGAAGGTGGCTAATGAATGTCATGACCATCTCCGCTTTAGGACCTTTTTGGTACCAATAGCTTAAAGTAAAATATTCCCTACGTATACCTTATATGAATCATTTTATTGAATATTTTCCTTACACTACACATATTTTAAATATATGGATAGTCGACCTCCCAATGGATAGAAACTTGTGCTTGTGGGATGAACCCCTAGGAGTGGATGAAACTTATGAATATTCACTACCGGTAATCAAATGAAACAAACTAATTTAGCTGTTTTTTTAATCATTTAATGTTTCTTTGTCCAATAAACTTTAAATTTTTAACAATACATAAACAATTCTGTGAAATGAATGCATAATCAACTATGTAACGATTGCACATCAGTGAAATATATATAAATATAGGTAAACATATTCACAAATTATGTATTATAATTCATATATCAAGAAACAAACAATGCGAGTCCTTCACCACAAAATAAAAATGCTTAAAATGGACGGAAAGAAAAAATAATATGTATAATAAATAATCTTGTAAATATGAAATGACTTGAAACAACAAAAGCATAGAGGTTGAAAATTAGGACGGATTTGCAAATTTAAGGCTCAATGATAGAATCAGTGCAGCCATTAATTACTGTAAATTCAGAAATTAATGTGTGCATTAATTATTACGAATCCTTGGCCATTGGCAAAAACATGAACTCTAATTAATCCTTTCAAAAACTTTATGAAGGAATATCACTACAGAAATTACGAATGCGAGTTTTCATAATTGCGAATCTGATACTGTAGCATTTTTTTGCATTAATAAAAACATCACAATAATTTCTGAATTTACAATCTGCTTTCACAATGTTATATAAGGATATCTGCTAGCACTTTCAGTTAAAATAGTATCTTAAAATCAGCAGTGTTAAATGAAATACTCCTTATAATCATATATGAGGCAGTTAGGCAAGATTGATTGATCAATTGTTGGTTGCTTAACGTCCAGCAACAAATATTTCATATTTCATGCAATTTAAGGGCAAAGTTAGATTTTTCTAAAATTTTCATTGAAAGAGTTAAATGTATACACATTCAAATATAATTTAAAATAAAAGTATCATACTTATCATCAAGAAAGGTAAGGGTTTAAATTCTATCATTTTATGTTAATTATATAAAGTGAAAATTCTTTGATGAATCAAAACCACATACTGTTGCATTTTTTGCAATAATTTCACGAATTTCCAGTACCTCAGTTTCCATCAAACTAATGAAAAATGCATGGAGATGCAGATAAATACTATGCTATGGACGGAAAGTCAGTAACATTCTTTTTTCTTATATCAATAGAGTATTTGAATATTAGCACTTGAATAACATAAATTCCATAATATTAAATAACAATATTCCAAGAAACAGTTTGATTACCGGCATATATAATCTTGGTTTTAGAGACAGAAAAATACCCACAAGTTCCTTTTGAGACAGCTGAAGTATTCTTTATTTACATATTGGGGGTGGGTTGAGCGGAGTGGTGTGTGTGTGTGTGCAGGATTTTGAAAATGAATAACTTGGACTGGTAAGAACTGAAAATAAATAACTTTGCAAAGAACAGGATGAAAACGGATATTTTACAACACAAATGCAGGAAACAAATGTGTGCAAAAACAGCAAAGCCATGGAAATAAAAGTAAGCATGCACAGTAACAGATGAAAAAAAAAACCGATTAGTCCAGTAAAAAATTCTTCCTGCCTTAGAGGTATGTTTGTTTGAATTGCCATTTTCAGCGTCATGATGGTGAATATCCCTAATATATAATTAACTACTTCCATTTTAATGGTATATACATATATCAGATCATGATTACACTATTTCACAGAGATATAAATAGATTTGACAAATATCTGACTCATTAGCGACTTGTTTTAATTGCTTCAGTGAACAAAATTGGCATCTGATTAGTTTAACATATTAATGATCAATCAGCAACCTTGTCATATATTGTATCTTTATTTCTCAACCTTACCATAAATCATGAAGCTTGAAATAGTGACCTGTTCTAGGGGCTCATCCCTACCACTCATTACATAGTACCAGTAAGTGTCCCCTTCCTAGCTACCAACAGCAACATAAAATATTTCACTTTAAATAAACAAAAATCTTCTTCTAGCAATTCAAAAGAAAGTACAGTAAACAGATGTAATTTAAGAGTGGGTGGTAAAGTAGGCATCAACTAACTTAAAATCTAAAAAATATATAAAAACCAATATGTTTACTTCAATTTGTTCTTAAATAAACTGTTAACACAGAGATATGTCTCACCTCTTTATTATTTTGATAATAAAATGCAAATGTTGAAATTAAAATAGCAATACTTTAACCATGTAAGTTATGCAAAATATTCAAAGTCAATGAAACATGACTTAAAAGACTCCGTCAAGGCGAGACAAAAAATCAAGCTTTTCTACTTTTATCTAATATTATTGCTATTATGACCCCATCCTTAAAACAATCCTGGTTTATCAAATTCAAAGGACAATATGTTTATCTTTGACAGGTTTTATTTTCATTTCTTATTATTTATAATAGTCAGAAAAAAGGATGACATATGTTACATTTTCTACAGCATTACTGAAAAAGAATATTTATAAAAATAAGGAGATGTGGTCTGATTGCCAATGAGTCAACCCTCTACCAGAGACCAAAGGAAGAAGTAAACAACTATAGGTCACTGTCCGGCCTTCAACAATGAGCAAAATCTGTACCACATAGTCAGCTATAAAAGACCCCAATATGACAAATGTAAAACAATTCAAACGAGAAAACTAATGGCCTGATTTATGTACACAGTCAGAATATTTTAAGATTAAAACCAGGAGCATATGTTACATCTACAATTTCATTCAAACTTGATTATTTTAAGGATGTTTGCTAACAAGCTTTTTAAAAGACTGTTACAGATTGATAGTATATAAATAAAGGAAATAAAAAAGCAAAAAAAAAAATGATGGGTCCGTGTGCTTGTTTTCAAGATATAAGCCATTGAAAATTTGGCGGGAAATAGCTCTCTCTAGATTTTTCATACATTTAACTTTGTGCCCTTTTTTCGTTCAAAAACTATGAAAAAATAACATGGATATCATAATATTATCAAATATGGTTTTTTAAACTATATGTAATAAAATTATGAAAAGAAAAATAGGTTTTAGCGGGTAAAATTTATAATGGCACTTTAGTGATAAAACCAGAGAATTCTGAATATCTTGCAAAATTCAACAAGAGTGCACACGCTGAAATGTCTCGCCTTCTTTACTAATCATTGACATTATGTTGATAGACCTAAATATAAAGCTTTATTAAAACTGTCACATAAACTTAACATTAACCAAGTAAACTAAACATTGACCAATGAACCATAAAAATGAGGTCAAGGTCAGATGAACCATGCTAGGCAGGCATGTACAGCTAACAATTTTTCCAGACAACAAATATAGTTGACCTATTGCTCATAGTTTAAGAAAAACAAACCAAAACACAAAAACTTAACACTGAGCAATGAACCTTGAAAATGAGGTCAAGGTCAAATAAAACCTGCAAGACTGACATAAAGATCATAAATTATTTCCATACACCAAATATAGTTGAACTATTGCAAATAGTATTAGAAAAAAAGACCAAAACTCAAAAACTTAACTTTGACCACTGAACCATGAAACTGAGGTCAGGGTCAGATGACACCTGCCAGCTAGACATGTACACCTTACAATCATTCCATACACCAAATATAGTAGACCTATAGCATACAGTATAAGAAAAACAGACCAAAACACAAAAACTTAACTTTGACCACTGAACCATGAAAATGAGGTCAAGGTCAGATGACACCTGCCAGCTAGACATGTACACCTTACAATCATTCCATACACAAAATATAGTAGACCTATTGCATACAGTATAAGAAAAACAGACCAAAACACAAAAACTTAACTATAACCACTGAACCATGAAAATGAGGTCAAGGTCAGATGACACCTGCCAGTTGGACATGTACACCTTACAGTCCTTCCATACACCAAATATACTAGTCCTATTGCTTATAGTATCTGAGATAAGGACTTGACCACCAAAACTTAACCTTGTTCACTGATCCATGAAATGAGGTCGAGGTCAAGTGAAAACTGTCTGACAGGCATGAGGACCTTGCAAGGTACGCACATACCAAATATAGTTATCCTATTACTTATAATAAGAGAGAATTTAACATTACAAAAAATCTTAACTTTTTTTTCAAGTAGTCACTGAACCATGAAAATGAGGTCAAGGACATTGGACATGTGACTGACGGAATCTTCGTAACATGAGGCATCCATATACAAAGTATGAAGCATCCAGATCTTCCACCCTCTAAAATATAAAGCTTTTAAGAAGTTAGCTAACGCCGCCGCCAGATCACTATCCCTATGTCGAGCATTCTGCGACAAAAGTCGCAGGCTCGACAAAAACAAGAAGAGCAAACATCCTTAAGACCGTTAATAATACTCCATAGCATAAAAAGTAAAATGAACTTAATATCAACAAAAAGTGATTATAACTGCACAGTACCGTGCATTGTAAATGAATGAATGAGAGTGGAATTATTGCAAATATTTTATGATCAACGATTTATTGCATAAAGCCCCATAGTCCATCTGATAATGCAATACAGAAGTCCCCAGAATGAAACTACTGATGGCAAAATATGTATATATTATATATATATAATACTGGTCATCGTCAGCTTTACGTTTGTTGGAACTAGTGTGATGATTGTCAGATAGCTACCACATGTCTGCACAACTTGACGATCGCATGAGGAATGAAAATATATCACAAATGCTGTATACCAGTGTCTTCCATTGTGGATTTAACTGTGATCTTTTTGAAAGACCATCTACACCTGAGATTGCTCCATATATATATATATATATCACGATTTGGATTTTTTAATAACATTTGCAACACTTTCTTTTAACGATCTAACACTTTCATTAAGTTTGAGGTCTACATCATGTAACTGTTTTTGTTGGAGTTCCAATGCAGTCAGCAGATTACCATTCTGTTCTTTACTTTGTCTTACTTCATCAACTGAAAAATGGAAAAAGAAATGCTTGACAGCTTTATTCCATAAAAGTAAAACACTGTGCCATTAGAGCACGATATGCCTGTCCTACTTTAACCATAAAGTTTCTTCACTCTAAAACAAGCAGGTCAAAATTTTTTTTAAATTGTTAAGGACACAAATACATAAAAAAAAAAAAAAAGAAAAAAAAAATTGTGAAAATTTTGACAAATAAATGTCCCATAACCCTGGAAAATCTAAAATATCACCAAATCGGAGCTTTTCTTTCAATGTTTAAAATCTATGTAAAGACTTCATTTAGTAATCTTGAGTTATCATAAGATGGTCCTTCCAACTTCAGTCAAACTTGTATTAAGCAGTCACTCATGGGAAGTTTTTAAAAGTGACCACTCAAGAGAGGTGACCTTTTATAAGAGGTTTCTCAAAATTCTAATTCCGACTTTGACCGTCTGGAATTGTGGCAAATTGTTTTAGTGTTTTCATATGGTTGAGTTATAGTTCTTGGAGCAGTGAAATAAAAAAATGGTGAATCCAGCACTGTAAATTGAAAGAAAACTTTCGAAACACATTTATATTCATGAAAAGGCCCTCGCAAAAAAACATACAGAACAAGTATTACAAATATTACAATTTTTGAACATATAATTAAACTTTCACACTAAGTTATTGTCCGTAGAACAAGAAAAACAAAATCATACATTAAAAACAAACATTAAAAAGACATGATAGAGTTAGAGAATTGTTACATATCATTTATAGTTAAAAAAAATCTACACATTTTCTTTTAAAAGTACCAAGATTTTCACATAGTTTTATTTCATTTGGTAGTTTATTCCAAAGTATTGAGGAGCTATATGTGAATGATTTTTTCATCGAATTTGTATTAGGCCTCACTACAGGTAGATTATTATTTGCAGACAATCTTAAATTTCTGCTGTGTAGGTTTATCATTCACTCAATGCTTTAACACATCAAAGTGCCAGAAGTCATTCCATTACTGGGTTTAGTGTCCTATAACACTGGGAGTTGAAAATTTATTTTTGTCCTATAACACTGGGAGTTGAAAATTTATTTTTGTCCTATAACACTGGGAGTTGAAATTTTATTTTTGTCCTATAACACTGGGAGTTGAAAATTTATTAGTGTCCTATAACACTGGGAGTTGAAAAATTATTTTTGTCCTATAACACTGGGAGTTGAAAATTTATTTTTGTCCTATAACACTGGGAGTTGAAAAATTATTTTTGTCCTATAACACTGGGAGTTGAAATTTTATTTTTGTCCTATAACACTGGGAGTTGAAAATTTATTAGTGTCCTATAACACTGGGAGTTGAAAAATTATTTTTGTCCTATAACACTGGGAGTTGAAAATTTATTTTTGTCCTATAACACTGGGAGTTGAAATTTTATTTTTGTCCTATAACACTGGGAGTTGAAAATTTATTAGTGTCCTATAACACTGGGAGTTGAAAATTTATTTTTGTCCTATAATACTGGGAGTTGAAATTTTATTTTTGTTCTATAACACTGGGAGTTGAAAATTTATTAGTTTCCTATAACACTGGGAGTTGAAAATTAATTTTTGTCCTATAACATTGGGAGTTGAAAATTTATTTTTGTCCTATAACACTAACTCACCATTTTGTTTCATTTGTTGTATATTGTGTTGAACAAATTTGATATCTTTAAAGAAATTTTTCAATGATTTGGCAAGATCTACGTCTAATCCAGGTCTTTCTTCTTTCCGTGTCCCAGCTGTACTACCTACAATGGTGTAAAAATGTTATAGTGGCTCAACAAGGCCATCTATATCTTGATTTCTCCATTAAAACTTCACCATAGACTTATTATTAAAAAAATACCAATTTCATATTGGACTTTATACAGAATATGTTATAACTACAGAAAGAAGTAATTTGTCCTTGCTCAATGTAATTGGTACACATAAATAAGGAATTCACATTTACTTTTTTGCAAATAAGAGGTTGAGACATTCATAGCCAAATATATATATATATATATATATCCTGTTTTTCAGAACAGCAGAAAATTGTCAAAAGTGATTTTCCTTTGCAACATAAAGGTGGTCTATAAACACAAAGTCTGTGAAAACAAGCTAAAAGTTTAAATTCTTAATTAAAAATGAGTGGCTAGTTGTCTCATTGGCAATCATACCACATCTTTTCATTTTTATAATTTCTTATATGAATAATAAAAAAATTTGTTCTCTGTAATGTCTTCTAAATTATTCAGGTCTCTCAAGAAGGTTTTACAATATCAATAACTGCTGATTCATTTTTATTCCCGGGAAACCTATTTTCATTGATTTAACGCCAATTTTAAATGTTCGACAAAGTATAAATTTTCTATTGGCTTGTATGTGGACATTTTTTCCTCAATACATGAAAATAAAAGAATAAACAGTAATGCACTAATTTTCTTACTTCTTCTAGAATTGGCGATTGCTGTAGCTTGTTTCTGTGTTTCCAACTTTTTTAGTAAACCAAAATTTTCTTTCTTCAGTGTATCACAGACTTCATGTAAGCCTTCTATTTCTTCCTCCTATAGATTATAATAGAGTTAATTTTAATACTAAGTTATGAATATTCATGATTAAGAACAAATTTTACTTGTAGGACTACATATCTAAAATTGAATCAATCATGCACTTCACTATTATTTAAAACTATGAATTTAACCCTATGAATGTTATAAATTTTCACTTTTAGGTTGCATTTCTGTAAATATAGACAATGCAATTTCCCATAGGAACTCCCTTTGCGGCTAAAACTTTGCCTCTTTTACTATGAAGTTTCGTAAAAAATTATATCCTAGAATGGAAAGTTGATATGCACTACTATTTAATTCAAAGGTCAAAACATAGGGCTGTGTGGCATATTGTCAACATTTATATGCCCCAAACTTGTTAGAGTTTAAACTTATACTAAAATTCTGTACTACCCCTACCTTCACTTTGTGCCTACTTCAGTTTTCAATTTTCACCGCAACAATATGTTTTTATACTGGTAACATTCCCAAGTTATGTCTCTATGAGATGAAACATAGAGATCATATAGTACGTAAACAAAACCAAATATCTATGAATATTATATATCTCCCCAAAAGAGGCGTGGTTTGAGAAACAGCTGTATTTACAAAGTGCAACCTATATTGCTATTTTAGTTAGCTCTTTCGTGGACAGCTGGCAATCTTTATACATGTATTTCTCTAATTCTTCGCTGATTTATCCTTTTCCTGACCTGTTTGATTTTTTTAATTTAATCAAGGTGTGGTTCGTTTGATCTCATTTCCTCATTGGTTTATTTCAATTCAGACGTCAAATTTTCTTGCTTTCCTCTGAATTTGCTATTGTGACGTCCCGAAAAAAGGCGACCATGCCTGATGACTAAACATAGAAAGAACACAACTTTTTGCAGATTGTTGGAAAAGAAGGATTATGTTTGTCTGCATATCCTCTAAAAATTGATAGAGAAACAGTTCTACTTATAAATCTCGTGTAATACAATATTTCTCCACTCTCGACAGTTAGATTTTAAATATTCAAATTTGAAAATTTAACTGTCTCGAGTGAAGAAATATCGTATCACACTTGATGCAGTGGTAGAATCTATATATAACTTTTTAATTCATAAGACTTATCAATGTCCCTATAAGTATAAACCCTTTGATAATACCTCAGCATTACCACAGAGCTTAATTTCTGATACAAAAAGGGATAGACAACTCTTGAAGACAGCTAATTTAAACTAGAGGCTCTAAAGAGCCGGTATCGCTCACCTAGGTGTATGCCCATTTTCAACAATGAACACTCTCCAACATTGTAGACAAGAATAAAATTCATGAAAAAAATATTTTTTTTGTTGATCTTGTATTGCTGATCATTTATTTTTTCTATCTTGCCAAAAGCACAAAAGAGTGTAAAATCAAATCGTTATTTAAGGGCAACCACTCCTGTAAAAAGTCTACTAACTATTTCGGCAAAATTTGTCTTGTATGTAGATCTTGTCTTGCTGATCATATTTGCTATTTAAAGTGTCTATTTATCTTTTTTAGTTTTCAGGATGATCGGTAAAAACACTAAATATTTGGTAAAAATCATCAGTAAGGAGCAAGAACTCCAATGAAGAGTCGACCAAAGAATTTGGCCATGAAACTTATTTGTAGATCTTGTCTTGCTGATAATTTTTGCTGTTTAAGGTTTCTATCTATTATAGTTTTCAAGATATTAGGCAAAAATAAGCCAATAAACTGATAATTTTTGTCATTTAAAGTTTCTCTCTATCCATTATAATTTTCAAGATAATAGGCAAAAAGGAAATACACGAGGCTCTCAAGAGCCTGAATCGCTCACCTGTAATTTTTTGCTTAAATCTTTCATCAATGATTATTTTTGCTTTTTAATATATATTAATGAGTGGCTTAAAAATTCCATTGAGATGTTCTTTGTATCTGTCATATTTTCTTCAAAAGCAAAGAAATACATTTTACCCCTATGTTCCATTTTAGCCATAGTGGCTATGTTTCTTGACGTACAAGAAAATAAAATACAAAATTTATACTAGATACTCTGAAACTCATTCAGCCCAAGTTTGGCTGAAATTGATTCATCAGTTTCAAAGGGGAAGATTTTTTAAAGTAAGCAAACTAGATGAACAAATTGTGAAAAATTGTCTTTAAAGGGCAATACTCCTTAAGGGGTCAATTGACAATTTTGATCATATAAACTTATTTGTAGATCTTACTTTGCTGAACATATTTGCTGTTTACAGTTTATCTTTATCATTAATACTATTCAAAATAAAATTATAACCAAAAACTGCAAAATTTCCTTAAAATTACCAATTTAGTGGCAGCAACTCAACAATGGGTTATTAGATTCATCTGAAAATTTCAAGGCTGATAGAACTTCACCTAATGAACACTTTTTCCCCCATGTCAGATTTGTTCTAATTCCTTTGGTTTTTTAGATACAATGTATAAGCCAAAAATTGCATTTTACCCCTATATTCTATTTTTAGCCATGGTGGCCATGTTTTTTGAAGAAACAAAAAATAAAACACAAATTTTATTCTAGATACCCTAAGGATCATTCAGCTTAAGTTTGGTTGGAGTTGGTTCAGTGGTTTCAGAGGAGAAGATTTTTTAAAGTTCGAAAACATGATAAACAAATTGTGTAAAATTGTCCTTAAAGGGCAATAACTCTTTAAGGGGTCAATTGACAATTTTGGTCATATTAACTTATTTGTAGATCTTACTTTGCTGAACATATTTGCTGTTTACCGTTTATCTTTATCATTAATACTATTCAAGATAATAACCAAAAACCGCAAAATTTCCTTAAAATTACCAATTTAGTGGCAGCAACCCAACAATGGGTTATTAGATTCATCTGAAAATTTCAAGGCTAATAGAACTTTACCTTATGAACACTTTTACCCCGTGTCAGATTTGCTCTAACTGCTTTGGTTTTTAAGATATAAGCCAAAAACTGCATTTTACCCCTATGTTCAATTTTTAGCCATGGCGGCCATATTTTTTGACGAAACAGAAAATAAAACACAAACTTTATTCTAGATACCCTAAGAATCATTCAACTTAAGTTTGGTTGGAATTGGTTCAGTGGTTTCAGAGGAGAAGATGTTTGAAATAGTTTACACTAGACGGACGACGACGATGGACGCCAAGTGATGGCTAAAGCTCACCGTTCCTTCAGAACGGTGAGCTAAAAATGGTAAAATTCGTTTGACAGTTTTGACATAATAGATAATAGGTTTAGCTCAACATTTTGAACATTCCTGCCCCTGTCAGATTTTCTCTTTTTATAGTGATTTTCAAAATAATAGACAAAATGTGCATTTTACCCCTATGTTCAATATTAGCCATGTCGGCTATCTTGGTTTGCAGAAAGGGTCATCAGACACATTTTTTAAACAAGTCATCAGACACATTTTTCTAAACTAATGATGGGACAGGTGAGCTAAAAATGGGAAATATCATTGACAGTACCATAATCAGTAAGCTAACAAATACATATTAAAAAAAAAAAACTAGACTAAGCTCATAAATCCAATAGTTATGTCAATTAAACGAATAATCTGTGCAAATGCAAATGTTAATGTGACAATTATTTAAAACAGAAACATTTAAAACACAAGTTAGATAATTTTCAAACATCACATGATATTCTACAGCCTCTAAGATTTTCAAACAAAAATCACAAATTAAATTAAAAAAAAAATCTATTAACCATAACACTGATTATACAACAGGGCATGATTTTTTTTTCTGTTATGATGTCATCTACAATGTTGACATTACTGGTACTTTATAATTTCCATCAAAACAACAAAAATTAAATGCTGACAAAATAGTTATTTTAAAAAATGACTGAAGACAATTTATTCTATCAGACAGGATAAATCTTTTTCCAATTTAACAAAAGTTGCAGAAAAAGACAATTTGCTGTTCATATCCTAAACGGTTATGGATAATGTTATTAATGCACACCAAATAGAAAATAATGTTACATTATTCAGCTTGTTAGGTAAATGTTCAATTGTTAAAGACCTTGTCAACCAATCATGCTTTAGTGTAAACTTTTGAAAATATTACCCAGAATTCCTGAAGTTTCTGAAATGGTAAATTGTTTTCTCCTAACTGTTAGTTTGTTTTAGAATATATCATGATATTGTGAGATACAAAAAAAACGATTTTCTAACTAATGAGTTAAATGTCTCTGTTTAAAAATGTGTAACCTCACCCTTCTTTGTAACTGTGTCAACATATCATTACCATCCTAAAGGGAGATAACTCAAGGTTAGTATAAGGAAAAGAAACTGTGTGAATTCATACTCAATGATGTCCAATATCTAATCGACAAGATTGACTATGGCGTTGATTTTTTATCAATATTTTTAGAAATAAAAATCATAAGATTTAAGAATTGAGGTCGATAAAAAGTAAATTAACAAAAACTACTATGAATTCACATTTTTAATTAATAGAAACATAAAAAAATAACAATTCCTCACAATTATTTCCTTACAATTTCTTTTAAAAAAACCTACTCTATTAGCAATTTCATTTGACCCAAACAATTTTTTTTTTTTTACTCTACATTATAAAAATCTCCTTATAGTTGGTATAATTTCAGGATGGTTTTGCAGTTTAGCATAGTGAAAATTCTAAATTCTGCTTTTCCAAAATTTGGTGTTGTGTGCAACCAACCATCAACCTATTAATCCTACTACCAAACACATAGTGGTAAATGAGTCACTTAAAAACCCAACAACCAAATCATAAAATATTAATGAGGAACTGTTTCCAATGAAAATAAATACTTTAAAAATAAAGCACAGGAAAATTACGCATTTCACATGTTACAAATAGAATATACTGAAAAGCCAAAAATATATCTTTTGTATGAAACAAATACATGTATTAGCAAATTTCAAAAAACAATTACTGTCAATTATCTAAGATTCTTAAGAATTTTTCTAAACATTACTATTCCTTTCAGAAATATTGTATGGAAATATTATCTAAATTGTTACTACCTACTTGGTAAAAAAAGGAAAAAAAAACTGACATTGAAATGTTAGAACATCAGCAATTAATAATTTACTGTTAAAAGGATCAACCAGGAGAAAAGGAGGATAACAACAAAAAAAGCAATCAATTGTTTTACTCACATCTGATGAACCATTACTATGGCCATTTGTCATGGTGGGTAGTTGCTTATCTTCATCAACTAGAATACAGAAAAAAAATATTTGTCACCCTAAGAACTCTTCCCGAAATGTAATGGGATTGAAGTTAAGCTATGCTACATGGCAGATTTGTGTAGTACTACATGATCGTATGAATTGACATTAGATCATCGGTACATGCATATTTATTTTGCTCATACTTGGCATAAATATTAAGTGCTATTAAAACAAGGTGGCTTTTAAATTAATTTTAACTAAGAAATTTTGATCCTGTAGCAAGCAATATATTTAACTAGTTGTAATGAAATTCATATGTGCATTGTAGGCATATCTTTGTGATAAAGACTGGTTATATATTAAATACCAATTGCAATTTCTAAACTTAGCGAAATGTGACATATCACTGAAAAATGTATGTTTGTAAAAAAATGTACTGTTCATTTTGAAAACTTGAGTGAACTGTATTACAGTACTTTTGTATAAATTACCTTGAGTACCCCACAGTTCTAATACCATAGAATCTGACTGGAGATACCTCAGAAAATCTTCTGTGACTTTTTTTATTGTAATTTGTTGCCTCATTTTGAGATCTGCGTAACTTTTACCCCACACGGTCTGTGTACTGATAATATTCTGCTGATTGTAAAACTTTGTTCTGAAATAAAAAAATTAATTTCTGATGATTAATGACCACTTCAAATTGTTTGCGTCTTTTTTTTTTTTTTTAAATTTCTTTTGTGTTTAAACAAATTATGTTAGACAATTTTAAATTCTGACAGCAAAATATGTGTTAGTAAATTGTGTTTTGCCTTGTTACCATAAAATGGATATTTTACTTCAAAAGCAGAATTACTTAAAAGAGATATGGTATTAATTCAAAACTAACCTGCAGTAAATGCCTCTAGACTGATTCTCCATGGTCCATCGGATACCCATACATTGTGGTAACATAAATATCATATTGAATGGTTTTCCTATCATCTCATGTGGTTCTATAATCTCATCTTCACTACACAGCTGTCCCTTACTATCACAGGGTAACAGTTTCACCTGGGTCACTGCCTCCTCTTTTCCGTGATAATTATGTAATGTAAAATGTTCATCTACCTCTACACAATATGACAAACTTTGAAGTAGAATATGGGCACTGAAAAAAAGTAAACATTATGTGGTACACATGAAATCTCTTTGTTTTATTTGTTTGTTTATGTGGCTGTTTTTTTTTGTTTGTTTATTCTGAACAACTAACTATTAGTCACAAATGTAACAGAATCATTGTCTGGTTTATTTTTCTATTGTTTGCAAAATTGTGAATTATCTCCCCTTCTCCAAAGAAAAAAAATGATGAAATGTGGATTGGAGAATCATTATGTTGCAATGCATTGCACTCTGGTTTATAATATTTCATAAAAAGGCAGTAACGGGACCATTTGTAATTTCTCTTCATATGACATTTAGTACACTTTTTGTTGAGCTCTCTTTTAATTTTTAAATATCACCATATGGAAAGAACTCCAACTTGAGTAAACATAATATTTATATATGGTTTACTGGCTCAACATGTAACCAATTCACAATGTATTGAATCATGTAGTTGAATCATTTAACATTTCAAACATACTTTTCTATATTCCTCGAAACTAAGGAGATTTGTTGTCATCAAATGCTTTAAAATAAATTTCATAATTTTTTTCTTACCTTCCAAGGAATACATCTTCCACAGGATCCCAAAATGGATCTTTGTCTCTTTTAACAATCACATTTTCTCCATCCATCCATCGAACATACATTTCATCCATTAAATCCTTTCGATGTAAAAATTTACTTTTTGACCAAATCCATACCTTTAAAAAGAAGAGCATAAAATCATGAATCGGTAGTTTCTTGATATAGGATTTTCTGAGGTCAGTTTTAAGTTTATATATAAATTATTTAGACATGCTATATGGTGTGCTCTATTGCCCATTGTTTACGAACACATGGTAAACTCTATACATTTTTCATACATTTATATTTTTCTGTTGCCGTCTTACCACATATTTCTTTTCATTCTTACTATTTTAGAGAGAAAGAAACACATTTTTTTTTTCAGTATACTGTAAATTCAGAAATTATTGCGAGGTTTTTATTATTGCGAATAATGCGACTGGGTGAGTATCACAATAATAAGAACTCGCATTCTGATGTTTGATAATATATCTGTATGCAGATTTTCCGACAATCGCAATAATTAATCTCGCATTTTTGTCCTTTCTTAAAAAGTTGCAATAATAAATGCACACAATCATTTCTGAATTTACAGTACATGTAAGATTAATTTTCCTACAAATTAGAGACAACCATCAGTGTTTTCCCTATCCTCTTTAAATTTGTTGATGTTCTGATATTGCCAGCTGTCTAAAACAAAGGCTCTAAGCATATACAAGAGTGATAAAAATCTCCCTTTATAAATAATAATATTGCCTCTTCTAATTTATACTGAACAGCTATTTATATTTGTTCTTCCTAATGACTCTTGACAGCCTTGACCTTAAAGTTGATGGCCTTACCTTGTTTGTCTTTTTATTTGTGACTTTTATAATGACATCTTTCCCTGTTGCTTGACCTTTTGGATCATGACTAGCTTCACTTTTAACCTCAGCATCCAATATAACATTCTGCAAATATAAAACTTGTAATTAAACTTTGTCACAGAAAGATTATTGGAACTAATTCAGAAATTAAGCTTTCCCACTTGTAAACTTTGTTACAGTCTCAATTCTTTCATAAAAGAAGCCTGTAGTTCAGTGGTTGTTGTTGGTTCATGTCTGTCATATTTTTTTTTCATAAATTGTTTTGTTATAAATTAGGCTGTTAGTTTTCTCAATTGAATTGTTTCATATTTTTTATGTCTGGACCCTTTTATAGCCAACTATAAGGTATGGGTTTTTCTCAGTGTAAATTTGAAAGCTGTTGTATACCTTTTTGAGTTCCTCACTGATAGCATTAGCTTCAGATACGAGTGGCATCAAATCCATAAATTCCTGGAATACCATCACTGAACGTATGTTTTCTGTAGACTCATGGACACGAGGGGTTTGGATATCCATGGCAACACCTTCATGTTCTGCCAACTCCATCATAAAATAATCAAAATTGTATCGATCCATTGGATCACTGGCTTTTCTTTCCTTAGGAAAACCAACAAACTGATATAAACAGCTGGAACCAAACTTTAATCTGTCCTATAAAAAATGAAGATCACACTTTTATTTGTAAAAATGTTAAAATTATTTCAAAACCATATTTCGTCTATTTTTATAACCTCATATAATCTATTTGGATTTAAAACTTAGAAGATATGAATATATTTTTGTGTTGCTGGGTTGTCATCTCATAGACATATATCAAATATCTCATTAATCAGATAGATAAAAAAATTTTGTTTGATCTAAATTTGGCAGCTTGACTGTCAAAGTCCTTTAATAAATTGAATGTAAAAACACAACTTTTCGCATAAAACAAAACAGAAACCTTTTTCTATTTACTAACATCAAAATGTGGAAAACAAAGAGAATCAAATTTCTGTAACAATAACTTACTGTAAATTCAAAAATTAAAATAGTATTTACAGAGACATATAATACAAGAGATTCGCAACTCTAGTAGAGTCTATATAACAGCCAATGAAATGACGTGGCCACCGGAAAGCCGATTAATCCGATGGATTTATGGGTAATAACCCGTATTGTTGTGTAAAAGGTTCTACGCCTCACGATTTTTCTAATGGATAATGCCGATACCTTTCACAGCTAAAGCATGCAAGTATATTTAAAAGTTACAAAAAACTAATTCTAATAATTTGTTATTGATAAAATGTGTTCTAATGATGAGATTAATCAAATACAAACAAAGTTAAAACTCGGCCCATTTTACTTCACCTATTGCCGTAGAAACCATTTGATCTCCCAATTTTTTTCTTAAAACTTGAAAAATATGCTAATAAATATATAATTTTATGGGCCAATAGTACTCCCAAATGTTGTTTCGTGACTGAAAATAAGACTATTTTCGTAAAATTTAAACCAACAATGTGGCGATTTTTTCTGATTGATACCCGAAATTTTTTATTAAACTGGCTAAATATTGAAATTGTTCATGGACAAATTTCCTTAAATCAGTCCTTCTTTTTTATGCACTATGAAATTTATAGCCTGCATTTTGTTAGACATTTTATTCATTTTTCATTCTGTTTATAGCAAAGTTGTTTATTTTCTCCTATTCTGAAGTCATTGTTTTTTTCTTCTTTTTAGGGTGCCAAAGATGAACGAATGCAGTAAATTTACAAAAGGAGTAAAATTTTCCTAGTAAAGGAAACCTTCTGCTGGTCGTACTATTATGAATGAGCTTCATATGCATCTGTTGTCGTTTCAGACTACGCTTCTCGTTCAAAACATGAACCTAATTCATTTTTAAATTAAAATCGTATTGAGGACATTTCAATGGTGACTGCAAAAGATATATATATATATGTTTGTGGTATATCATCTTTTCCACAAGTTTATTGTTTTCTGTTTGGTATTTAATTAATATTAAGATCCATTTTGTTAGATCTGGTGATCAATTTATTTGGCAATCGCCAATGGCAGTCAGCAGGGTTTAAAAACATCAGTTGTTCGACCTGTTAGTCAAATGCGTTTTGTTAAAATAGACTTTTTCACTTTTTTTGGTCTTTTGGAAATTGTTGTTTGTGCTGTATTTAGACCCCTCTACCAAGAAATTTGTTTTACATGCACACGTATAAAAATTGCGGTTTTTATCCAACGCAATCATAGGTTTGAACGTTGTTTTCAATTTAGACTTTTATATATATATATATATATATTTGATAATAAAAGATTTTATTTACACCAAGGATTTGTATATGTATACACATAAACAATCTTACTTTTAAATTGCCATCTCTTTACCCCAGAATAAAAAGACAAAAACCGCTACAAATGATTAAAAGACAAAAACCGCTACAAATGATTAAAAGACAAAAACCACTACAAATGATTGTCTCGTGGAAACAAGGTTATAAAATACTTTTTAAATAGTGTCTTCCGTGTTGCTTTGATGTATGACCTGTGTTTTTTTATAGATTTTTTGTTGCTTCGAGGACACACATATCCATCTATGTATGCAGTATTGTCAATTGTTTTTGTTGGTGGGTCTCTCGCTTATGTTTTCGTCCTTTTCACTATCAACAAAGAGTTCTTTATCAGTTTATTCAACTAGGAGTATATCTAAGTCGTAACTATTAAGATTGTCATCCCACGAAATAAAATCGGAATTTTCCATATTGCGTGCACATGAATGAAGCTTTATTCAAATGAGAAATTAATTGTAATTTTCTTAAATATTAATTCTCAATACACACTTCGAACATGAAGAAACCATAAATTTACCGACAATCATTTAAAAAAACAACTCAATGCAAGCCTATATGATAAAACTGTCAAACAACACTTAGAAATCAAACATTTACCAACAATCCTACAGAAAAAAAACTCAATGAAAGCCCAATAAATGAGGAATATAAAAATAAATAAAATTTTAATAATTTATAAATATCAAGAATAAAAAACAAAGCCTATCATGATTAACAATTAATTAACAAATAAATTAAGTTTTTTTCCATATTAATTAATTATACATTTTGTGAATTGTATTTTTGGAAAGAGTGTGGACACCTGTGGTGTGACAACTTCTTGTTTACAAGGTGTCAATTAAAACTCATTATTTATAACATGTTCGTGATTTACCTGGTCATCGAATAATTCAAACCTAATATACATGTCACACTGTGAAATTATGTCTCCGAGACAGGTGTATATTCAATAGAAACCCATTATGTAACTATCAAATAAAATGAACTCTGACACAATTTATCAAGTGTTAATTATTTAATATCAGTTTTTTTTTAAACAATATCAAATTATGTCTCTTTTTCAATAATACAAATCTAAAATCAAAATTACATTAAAATAAATAATTATATATGTACTCAAATTATATTTAATTAATTATGATAAATTTAACACTGAAACAGTTTATGTTATGCTTAAACATTCGTCCTTACTTCGAGTACTTTTAATACTTTTATTAATGACTTTATTACCTAAGGAGATCTCGCGAGGTTTAACTAGTGGCCGCGTGTTATTACGGGATTTCGCCGAGTTGCAAATCTCTTGTATTATATGTCTCTGGTATTTATAATTAGAATTGTTGTGTTGCGGATAGAAATACAAGATTAATTAATGCAATTTTGGGAAAAACTCGAAAACAAATATTGCTATAAGGAATTAAAAAGAATTTTTTTATAATTGAGATTCACAATCCTTTTCATTTTTTGCATTATAAACAAGCATTCTGAGAGTATTGCATGGCAATACATAGTCCCCTACTGGTTAAAAAATCATTATATTGGAACAAAATGCTAACTTGATCTATAACTTGTCATGGTGTAAACTATATAACAAATATCAAGTCAATATCTTCAAGCATGACGAAAAAAAGTGTTGAAAACTTATTATTTATGTGAATTTTCTATGTCCAAGGACCATAACTCTGCACAAAATCATCGGACTGGAACAAAATTTGAACTTGGTCTGTAACTTGACATGATAAAACTATATACCAATTATCAAATCAATATCTTCAAGCACGAAAAAAAAAAGTGAGGAAAACTGATTTGCCGGACTGACAGATAGACAGACAGACAAACAGAGTGCAAACCTAAAGTCACCTTTGACTTCGTCGGAAGGGGACTTAAAACATCATTAAATATTTGAATTTACAGTAATTGAACATGGACGTCTTCATAGAATGCAAACTTGGTTACTTTATCTAACTATGAAACCAACACTTACTAAATGTTCCAGTTTGGTCTTGGCTTTGATCTTATGACCATTAACAAATATCTTTGCTGATTTGGAACAAGGTTCTAAGAACATCTCCTTGTCATTTATGTTTATAAGTTCAGCATGGGACTGTTGTATTCTAAAATATCAAAAATATAATTTAAAATCTTGATCCCCAAACATAAAAGAGATAAAGGCTATTCAGTTATTTCGTACGACTTATGATGATTGAGGTCCAGATTATTTAATTCCTAAATTAAACAGCCAAAATGCAATAAAAATTTAATATTTGCAGTCCTCGTAATGGTTTCCTGGAGATTGCTTGGAATTTCACTACAGCATTTTTTTAGATCAATACTGGCGAGAGTATGATTAGGGTAATTTTATTCACTTTCCAATTAATATTGAAATAGAATTTGAACTATTTACTCAAATAATATACATTTTCAGAGTCAAACAGAATTATTAGGAAAATAAAAGTTTGATGCATATTCCAGTTATGTGAATATTTAAAGTATTTGTGTGAAACTCACCCCAGTCCTCGAACCTCAATTTTGACTTTTGGGTTTCCAGTCTTACCCAATAATGTTGTTCCTGAAAAAAAGCATGAAGACTGCTAAATAACACGAATTATCAATGTGATATTATTTGAAATCTTCAATTTCAAGGTAGCTTGCAAATGATGAAAAAAACATTAATGGAATGTTAAAATATGAAGACATACTTTCTCTTTGTTAAAAATATTCTTAATTACCAATTACAGAGTAATCATTTCCCACATCCGGCTTTTTTGTAATTTTTACCCACTTTTTCCCAGATCACACTTTTTTCACCCCTTATATCCCACATACCAAAAGCATGTCATCCCCATTTCATAACTTTGTCAAAAATCAATGTTACATCACATTACAAAACATATATACGGTCTCCCAATACTATCTTTTTAGTCACATTAAGTATAACAGGATCTTCATTGATGTTTGTTAAGTAGGTCACAGTTTCCCAATCTTACCTTTATAGCAACAATGTTTAATGACATTAGATAACATTGGATCTTCATTGATGTTTGTTAAGTAGGGCACAGTCTCCCAATCTTTTTTCTGGTCGCCACTTGAAGGAGAGGACACTTTTGATCTTTCCCAATCTTTTCTGAAAATAATTCAATCAGTATGATTTTTCCATTTCTGATGTGTTGATGTTTAAATGACATACATGAGAATGAAATGTTTACATGACATACATGAGAATGAAATGTTTACATGACATACATGAGAATGAAATGTTTGCACGACATACATGAGAATGAAATGCTTACATGACATACATGAGAATGAAATGCTTACATGACATACATGAGAATGAAATGTTTACACGACATACATGAGAATGAAATGTTTACATGACATACATGAGAATGAAATGTTTGCACGACATACATGAGAATGAAATGTTTGCATGACATACATGAGAATGAAATGCTTATATAACATACATGAGAATGAAATGCTTACATAACATACATGAGAACGAAATGTGAAAGTAAGAGTCTGAAATTGAGATCTTAATTAAAAAAAAAAATTAAGAATATTTAGAAACCAGCTAAAAAATTGGAGTAATATTAAAAACACATAAAGAGTTTCTTATGAAATTCCAATAATTAGTTGGTTGAATACCTTTTATTTTATAAATAAATCAGTTTGTTAATTTATAATATTTAATTAGCTTAGATTGATTGATTTTTGGTTGCTTAATGTCCAGTGTCAAATATTTCATGCATGTTCAGGACGAGAACAAATTAACAACAAGAAATGATTGTAACAGGATGCTGTTACGAAGTCTCCCAAACGAAGCTCCCATAATTTGTAATTCCCAGGGTCGCCTGACATTGGGCAAAGTCCAGTGAAAATTGGTTTGGTCCAGTAAAGTTATATGCATTAGTGATGCCTGGGGACTAGCCCTGTATATCATTCCAATCATCTTGGCATGACAAACCAGAATATATATGGTTTAGGGGTGAGGATCTCGACCATTTACAAGATACTAGAACATTGGGGGTGGGGGTAAACCCTGGGGACTGACCGTATACGTCATTCAAATGTTCGAGACATGACGAACAGGAATATATATGGTTTAGGGGTGGGGATCTCGACCATTTACAAGATACTAGAACATTGGGGGTGGGGGTAAACCCTAGGGACTGACCGTATACGTCATTCAAATGTTCGAGACATGACGAACAGGAATATATATGGTTTAGGGGTGGGGATCTCGACCATTTACAAGATATTAGAACTTTCTCAAATGGCAGGGGGTCGAGATGACCCCTGGGGACTAACCCTGTATATCATTCAAACCATCTTCACATGACAAACCAGAATATATATGGTTTTGGGGTGGGGATCTTCACCACTTACAAGATATTAGAACTTTCTTAAATGGCATGGGGTTGGGGTGACCCCTGGGGACTAACCCTGTTTTTCATTTGATTTGCTTTATCATGACAAACCAGAATATATATGGTTTAGGGGTGGGGATCTCGACCATTTACAAGATATTAGGACTTTCTCAAATGGCAGGGGGTCGGGATGACCCCTGGGGACTAACCCTGTATATCATTCAAACCATCTTAGCATGACAAACCAGAATATATATGGTTTAGGGGTGGGGATCTCGACCATTTACAAGATATTAGAACTTTCTCAAATAGCAGGGGGTCGGGATGTTCCCTGGGGACTAACCCTGTATATCATTCAAACCATCTTAGCATGACAAACCAGAATATATATGGTTTAGGGGTGGGGATCTGGACCACTTACAAGGTATTAGAACTTTCTTAAATGGCAGGGGGTGGGGGTGACCCCTGGGGACTAACCCTGTATTTCATTTAATGGGTTTTATCATTTAGAACATTTTCAATTAAAAAGATTGTGTCTATCACAAACGGTTTTCAATTTATAATCATTTTAAAATTTTAAAAAATAAAATCCCATAGAGTTCTATTGTAAAACCCTCTTATCTTTTTGCCCCTCAAAGTACCCCTTTATAAACCACATTGCACAAACAAAACCCTGATTGCACCACTAGACATGTTAGTCTAACATATTGTGAAACCCTAAGTTAATATGACAAGCGATTTGGAGAACGGGTGCGGACAAGTTCAAATTTAAAAGCGGCGGAAGAGGAAAAGGAAGAAGAATAATAATAATAATAACTGAGCAAAAACAATAAGTCTTCCCAAACTTCGTTTGGGAGACTTAATAAATACAAAAGGTAGGTCCTGTAATAGAGGCAGGCCGGGATGAAGGTCGGAAAAATTTAGACTACCACTGAAAAATGAGGGTAAATTGGATATGGACAGAGATTTTGCATTGCAACAGGCCACCTACAGACCCCTCAAAAAGTTATTGCAAGGGTTCTTAATGTGCAGAGATATCTATATCATAACAGCTAGTTTATATTGGCAAAGGAAGAGTCTAGAAGAGTTTTAAATTAATTAAACAGAGACTATCAAAGATTTTCTATCAATATCTAATTCCCTAAAAGACAAAAACATATTTACCTAGCCTTTTCGGATTTTTTATTGGTGTAGGAGTAGGTATTCTCTGATGACAGGTATATCTACACAGTCTGTTCTGATTTTTGATTGGATAAGGAGTATGTACTCTCTGATGACGAGTATATCTGGTATAACAGTCTGTTCTGATTTTTGATTGGATAAGGAGTATGTACTCTCTGATGACGAGTATATCTGGTATAACAGTCTGTTCTGATTTTTGATTGGATAAGGAGTATGTACTCTCTGATGACGAGTATATCTGGTATAACAGTCTGTTCTGATTTTTGATTGGATAAGGAGTATGTACTCTCTGATGACGAGTATATCTGGTATAACAGTCTGTTCTGATTTTTGATTGGATAAGGAGTAAGTACTTCCTTTAAAGAATCAGTATACCTACCTAGCCTGTTCTAATCTTTGTTCCCATGTAAGCTGCATGTCCTGCATTTTCCTTTCATTTTCTTTCAACATCTTTTCTAACTCTATAAATACAAGATAAATTCTTACTCACTAAACATTGTTTCAACATATGTTTAAATCCTAGATTCTAAAGTACCAGTATTTATAATTGGTGAAACTTTTTGTGAAGAGAACTAAATTGTGCAATTTCTAAACTAAATGGTTTCACTATAACTAGTTTTAAATCTATTTATTTACTAAATTTCATTGATCTTTCGTACTACTTTTATTTCTTAATATCAGGAATAAAAAACATCTAGGAACATTGAACACCATGCAAGACTTCATATGTGTCATCATTTGACCACACAAAACGATTCTTTGATCCAGATAAAAAATATATCTATTATTTCTTACAAAGTATTAACAAAAATCTGAGAACATTGAGGCTCTATTTTGGTAAGATAGCCACAACACTAGACATTGACCTTTAAAATTAGAGATTTATGAACTCATCCAAATGATATAGTTGCTAAATTTTATAACTTGATCCTAACTCAAAAATAAATAATATACATCAGAGTTCTCGAAATCTGGAGGTCATTGGGGCCACCAAGACTACAAATCTAATGGTCCCAGTCAAAATTTGGTAGTCCTGCATTTGTAGAAAATATTTGCTTTTTATCATTTTCATGAATGTAGGTATAAATAAGATAAGGCCAATATCAAATATTGATATACATTTCAATTAGGAGCTATACTAAAATACTAGACAGCCAAAAAAAAACAAAAACCACCACAAACTTTTAGTTAGACATCAGGACCACAACTGCCCCTAAAGTTTGGTGGACCTACCTGATTTTTTGGTGGTCAGGACCGATGGGACTGCCAGTTTTCGAGAACACTGATACATGATCAATTATCACTTTTTAGTTGGATTTTTTTCTCAAAAGATTTTTTACCCAGCAAATAATATAATATCAAAAATGGTAAATGCTACAAATACGCTACAGAACTAAAAATAAGTTATATCGATATAAAATGTGACAAAACAGATAATCAATTATAAATCATGCTTTGTGTATATCGTGCATAAAATGTGCATGTAAAAAGTACACAAGGAACAGCTGCATTCCATAAAGATATCCCACATGCATAGAAAAATCATGTAAATTTAAGTCAATATTTCCAATGACATCTTCATTCCTTACTCACATTAATGTTAACATTTCTAGTAACTGTTTTTGTAAAGTTAATTCTATATTAGTAAAAATCAATAGAAAAAGTTGATTTTCTATAATCTTTGGCATTAAAACACATAATGTGTTTGCTCCCATGGCATAAAATGAAAGTTGGAATTTGGAAGGGTGGAAAAGGCTTGCCATTAAATTCATGATATGGAGAATGTGAAGAATAATTTGTGCCAAAAATTTGCTGAATGTAAATATGATAAATTTTTCATAATTTTTTTTATTTCCCTTAAGATACTGAAACACTTAATAATTGACATAATAAACTAGAATTTTTTTTTATTTCCACATAGTAAGCATGTTGAGCATTAGCAAGTGTGAAATGCCTAGGGGAGGTCAACATCATGCATGAAGGTCATGTTTAATCTGTAAAATGTTCGAAAGGGGAAAAAAAATCAATGCTCAGGATTTAAACACAAAAAAGTAAAAGTTTGGAAAGTCAATGTTTTAAATACTAAGAATAATATATGCAGAAGGAAAATTGAAGGGAATTTTACAGTCCATACAGATTGATTAAAATAAGGATCCTGTGTCGCTTAAAAGAATCTGGCTTTTTATTTTCAGTTGTGAAGAAATTTGCAGGATTTGTATCAACAATACACTTCTTTAAAAGATTTAACAGTTGATTAAATCATTATTGGAACAGAAAGTAGAACAGAGGCTTGTAATTTCCTTGTACGCTGCTTGTGGACACAGGATCTTCATTTCAATCAAAGTGACATTGCATATGACCTTGACTTAATAATTCACCTTGACGAGACTGTTCTATAGACAAAACATAAAATTCTATCACAATTCTGAAGCACATGGCAATAAATTTAATTCTACATCTCATGCAACTAGAAAATTAATTTTACTAATTTTAGTTGACTACCATATCACATTTTAACCCATAAGTTATCTCCCTTTTGACTAAAACCCAACCACCTCAATTGTTGTTAGTTATTGACCATTACAGATTCTATGGAAAAAAGGGTATTATTTAGATCAGGAATAATCTTAAAAAATAGAAATTGTCTGCTTCAACTTATAACTGAATTCAATTTGTTTTCTGTATAACTTTCTGTGCAGCACAATGTTTATTTTTTTTATTTTTATTAATTTGATAAAGCATCAGATGAATAAGAAATTACCCAAATAACAAGACCCTAATCTATATATATCCTTCTTATTAAACAAAAATAATATATTTTGATTTAGAATAATTACTTTGTATATCACATATTCATTCAATACAATAATAATTAATACTTGAAAACAGCAATCACCTACAACATGCAATAAAAATTTCATATATTTATCAATAAAAAGATGAAAATGTTATAAAAGTCATGCAAACCATGTTGGTTAATAAATAATCAATAAAAAAATTGCATAAATTTGCATTTTTACCAACTTACCTTCACTGGAATTCTCCTCTACATTATCAAAATTAATCAAATATATAAATTAATTAGATCACTGAAATCACAAACCATTATAATTGGTAGTAAGCATTTGGCTTCATAAAATTCTGTCTGTCATAACCTGTCATTTAATTATTTTGATTTATTTTCGAGAATAATTGAGAGCCTTAACTGTTTTTACGTTTTTGTGTTTCTTCTTTTGTTATTTCACAGATCAAAATTTAAAAAAAGGGAGACTTGTGATCTCAAAAACTAATTAATGTTAATTTCCATGTGCCTGTCCTGCACATCTCAGGTGCAGTAAAATTGGTACATGAACTGTAAATACTTATAAAAATTTATTTACATCTTTTTTACTTTGAGCAATGTTGAGCTTGATATATTGTTTAGCATTCATCTATTTAAGGAATGACTTATAATTTAATTCTAAATTCCATTTTAAACCAGAGTAAACCATGAAAAAAACGTTGATGATGTCACGGTCACATGACAAAATTATGTCTATGAGCTGATAAACAAAAAAACGTCAGCCAATCAGAAGACGCATTACATCCAAAATAAAATAATTGACCTTTATCAGTAAAAAAAGGAAAAACAAAAATAAAAAAATTCCCAAATTTTCTCTTGATATCATTTGCTCATCAAAAAGCTTCTGTCCAAGTTTCATGAAACCTTATGCAGGTTTGGCAAAATTATTGTACCTAAAAAAAAACTTTAACCACAGGCCGAATTAATTAACCTCAAAAAGCCTTTTTGGGTTTGTTAAATGAGATCATTTAACTAATTCTCCCTCCTCCCAAAAAACAGGCTATGACAAACAATTCAGTATTATTATTTTGTTTTCAGTGAGTATATGTGAACACACCACTTTCAATCATCACAGCACATAATGACAAACATTCAGTGGAATCTAGCACATAATGACAGACATTCAGTTGAATCAAACAAAGTTATGCAAAAATTAAATGCTATTGTGATTAGTGGTTTTAATTCACATTCCAAATATTCAAGGTTATACGTGTTAAATCTAGTCAAATTTCAATACTTCTAATATGATTTATATTGGTATGTAAGATGCTAAAATTTTCAATACTTCTAATATAATTCCAATTGGGATTAAGGATGCTAAAATTCAGCAAATACCAGTATAAAATATACTAAATTAGAAATCTAATGGTACTATTTCTATAACATATCAAAATGAAATTCACTTAAACATTTCTATGTCCTTTTTTATTATTATTTCATATGGAATAATATCATAGAAATCACAAGCAGACTAATTCTTAAGATTTATCTCCCCTTCGTAGTAGCTAAATTTAATTTTTATTTTCAGCTACTCTTTGCATTTCTTTTATAATCTGATTAAAAATATATCTACTTTGACCTTCAACACTATTAAAGGTTACCAATTGGTTAATTTCACCAACACACATTATGTGACTTCAAATTATACACATAGATAAGCTAAGTTATCAAGAGTAAGTGACTCCAGCAACACAATTAAACAAGATAGTGGGAAAATATAACAATTACCTTCAGTTGCTTCTTTATTCAGGCCATGGCCTCCACCAAGACCACTCTTTTTGATCAAAGCCATAAGTTTTGCGTTCTCTTCCTTCAGCTCTCGGATCATACGATCAGTTGGACTCTCATTAATAACTGCTTTATTTTGGATTTTCTTTGCACTGTAACAAACCCCAAAAAAATCATTTCAATTATTTTGTATGTCTTCCTTGATAAAATGTTTTAGAAATTCAGATAGCTATTGTTAATAAACTGCTTCGCTGAGAGCAGCTGGATACGCCCGCAGAGGTCCAACCCTGAACAATTGGGGCAAAAATGGACACAATATTCAAGCTTGATACAGGTCTGAATTTGGATTGTTATTAAATAATTGACATATTATAGGTTTCTGAATAAATGTAGTCAAAGAACTTGAAATTGGTTATATGAATTGAATTTATATTCAATTAAAGATTTCTTGCTGTTGTGCAATACACTGTGCTATTGCGCAATGCTAAGTAAATCTGTTGTCAGACTATAAACAAATAAAATCTTATAACTCAGAAACCTAAATTCGAAAATTTATAAAAATCAAAAGGGAGCTTACAAAAATAGATATAAACAATTTACCAAAGTTTCATAAAAAATGCTGAAAGCATTTTTGAGTTATTGTCTAAAAACTGGAAAATCACCCTTTTTGTAATGAATAAAACCCCATGAATCTGAAACGTATGGTCTAAAATTTATAAAAATCAAAAGGGAGCTCATGTCGATAGAAATAAACAATTCATCAAATTTTCTTGCAAATTGGTGAAATTGTTTTTGAGTTATTGTCTGAAAACTGGAAAATCCTCCCTTTTTTAATGAATAAAACCCCAAAACTCGGAAACGGTAAATCCAAAATTTATGAAAAACAAAAGAGAGCTCACGTCAATAGATATAAAAAATTCACAAAAGTTTCATGCAAATTGGTGAAATTGTTTTTGAGTTATTGTCGGAAAACTGGAAAATCCCCCCTTTTTTAATGAATAAAACCCCAAAACTCGGAAACGTTAAATTCGAAATTTATAAAAAACAAAAGGGAGCTCATGTCAATAGATATAAACAATTCACAAAAATTTCATGCAAAATGGTGAAATTGTTTTTGAGTTATTGTCTGAAAACTGGAAAATCCCCCCTTTTTTAATGAATAAAACCCCAAAACTCGGAAACAGTAAATCTGAAATTTATAAAAAACGAAAGGGAGCTCACGTCAATAGATATAAACAATTCACCAAAGTTTCATGCATATTGGTTAAAGTGTTTTTGAATTAATGTCCGACATGTTGACGACGGACAGACAGACTGACAGACGGACGGACAGCGGTCAACGGTATGCCATAATACGTCCCGTAAACGGGCATAAAAAAAGTAAGATGGTAAAGTCATAACCTAATTTTCTTTCTTGATGCAACTTAATTCAGAATTTGTTTTTATTAAATTCATACATCATAAATTGAATAAAATGCTCCGCTGGGCGCAGCTTGATACGACCGCAGAGGTCGAACCCTGAACAGTTGGGGCAAGTTTGGACACAACATTCAAGCTTGATACAGCACTGAATTTGGATTGTGATTAAATATTTGACACAGCACAGGTTTCTGACACAGAATGAATGTGGTCTAAGAACTTAAAAAAATTTAATTTACCTATTCACACCATATCATTATTATTTGCTTTTATATATAATCAGAAATAACCAATTTAAAATGAAAAATTTTAAAGAAAAAAAAATCCCCCCCCCCCAAATTTTTTGAACCCCCTTATGATTCATCACCCCCAAACTCAATCCCAGCCTTCCCTTTGTGGTATGGTACCTGCAGTACAATTTCAGAGGGATCCATACACTTGAACATAAGTTATTGTCTGGAAACTAGAAAAATGCTTGTTTTTTGGCCCCTTTTTGGCCCCTTATTCCTAAACGTTTTAGGCAATTACCCCCAAACTCAATTCCAGCTTTCCCCTTTGTGATATGGAACCTTGTAGTACAATTTCAGAAAGATCCATACACTTACACACAAGTTATTGTCATGAAACTAGAAAAATGCTTGTTTATTGCCCCTTTTTTGGCCCCTAATTCCTAATATTTTGAGACAATTACCCCCAAAATCAATCCCAGCATTCCCTGTGTGATATGGAACCTTGTGGTACAAAGTCAGAGAGATCCATACACTAACACACAAATTATGTCTGGAAGTTACAAAAATGCTTATTTTTGGCCCCTAATTCCTTAACTATTGGTACCATAACCCCCAAAATCAATCCCAACCTTCCTTTTGTGGTATTGAACCTTATGGTAAAATTTCATAAAGATCCATTCACTTAAACTAAAGTTAGAGTGCGAAAACCAATTTGTCTTTGGACAACGACGACTTATACTTTTGTTTTTTGCAAAACCATGATGGAGAATCTCAAAACCATGAAGGAGAATCTCAAAACCATGATGGAGAATCTCAAAACCATGAAGGAGAATCTCACCACCATAAGGGAGAATCTCCACACCATGAAGGAGAATCTGAAAACCATGAGGGGAAATCTCAACACCATGAGGGAGAATCTCAAAACCATGAGGGAGAATCTAAAAACCATGAAGGAGAATCTCAAAACCATAAGGGAGAATCTTTTCTTTGATCTACATTGTTTGTAATTTATGACAAAGAATTAAAAGTGAGTTGTCATCATTTTCGTCCTATTCATTTGTCAAACTGTAATTTAACTTAAGTCAATGTACACATAAATGAGCAAAGGTACTGTGATTTATTCATTATGTTCACAGTTAGGTTCTAAACAGTAAGAAAGATAAACATTGCAAGTAGGAGAAAGCAAATATTTTATAACAATAATTTACCGATCAGCATATCTGAGTGTGGATAAGGTCTCATCGTAATTTATATCTGCAGGACTAAGGGCAGCAATCTGTCAAATAAAAGAAAATTTATGGATAAATTTAATCCATAGTTATTAAATCGGTGTTTGTATTGCAAAAAAACAGTCATTCAAAAATAAGATTAAGCCATCAAATCATAGGTCTAAAAAAGTTGGTCACTGAAAAAACAGTAATCACATATATTTAAATTACCGCAACTTGATTTAGATTTTTTTACTCCGTAAGTTTACAGAAAATGACTTGACATATTTGGATATTTAAACTAGAAACAATTTAGATTTAAATCAAGTCAATTTAGATTTAACAAAAATGACATGTGGCCAAGAAAATAGCATATCAGCTTTTAAAATCATTCTAACTTTGAATAATTTACACAAATTAAGGCAAATGAAAATGAAACAAACAAATAAAAAAGGAGCACCAAAGGTGTCAATTTGTCAAACTTCCAGAGTGGTAATTTTTCCTCTGAACAAATTTTTTAGAAGGAGAATTGTTGTAGAACCTTTTTGACCTTGTTTTTCATAGTATATTATCTCACATTTTGCATTAAACATTAAAGGGTTATTGGTTTTCTAAATTACATTCAAACGATCAATTAACAATGAATTCATTAGCTAAAACCACTTGTAATGAATTAAGGTAACTTAGCCACTATATATGGAGTAAAAACTCATCATAGGTACCAATAGATGTGTTTTTTTATCTACACAAGATTCAAAAGAAGTGATTGAACAAGAACAGATTTAAATCTAAATCAATTACAAAGTTACGAGCATTGAAAACACCAAATTCCAAAATGTTTTGCCAAATCTAGCTTAGTCTTGATGATCAATGCCTGTGGAAGGTAAAACCTTGTTGTGTCAACAATTACTGGTATTTGATTTTTACAATACAAACAAGTTATAATGAAATAATGGTCAGAGGAGGAGGAGAAATAGGAACATTGTCTCTCCAATTAAGGAAATTTGACTGCCCTGCCAGGAAAATGTTCTTCAGAGCGTGATTTCAAACTTTTTGACCAATATTTTGAGGATCCCATCAATGCCTTGAGCATTTGACATCTTTAATTATTAACATCATTATTGCCATTTTGTGTGGCATCAATAACAACTAATTGAAGATTATACTAACCATAATGGTTCTACTGTTCCCTCCTAATGCTGATTGTAATAGCTTTGTAAGCACTGAATCTCTATAGGGAACCAGTACTTTCTTCTTTCCCATGGCAAGATCAGCTAAAGCACTAAAACATAAAGTAGAATAACATCTTCATTTTTTTAAATTTGACAAAATCTTCCTTTTTTCATACTTTCTTAATTAAGAAACAGGAAAAGAGTTTATTTCTGGAGTAATTCTCTATTAACTTAAGTATACTCTACCAACAATTTTATTTAGGAGGTGTTGGTTCAGCAAGTCTTTATCAGGATCAAATCCAGGATTTGATTGGGGGGGGGGGGGGGGGGGGGGGGTTGATAATTAGGAATTAAAGGCCCTTGTTATGATTCAAAATTGGTGGTATTTCACCTTTATTTCATCGATTTTGAAAATTTACCAGTGAAGGGAGTTATGGGATAGTAATGGGAATTTCTCTACAACATCAGTGAATAAAAGGAGATGTGGCGTATATAAAATAGCAACAAAACAACCCAAAAGTCACAATAAACTAAAAGCTATTGTTTTAAGGACTAACTGAAAGAATAAAGTTCTATTCATTACAATCTTTTCAATTACACTAAAAGAAGAGAAAAAAATATTTTCATACAGACGGGAGCAACCCATCAATGACAATATAATAATTCAGATGCAGAATGGAAATTATTATTTAAGTTATACCCCTAGACGAGAGATATTCTAAATATAGATTTTGAAAACATTTAACCCAAAGGGTAAGGCTATCAGCCTGTGACTGGCAGTTTAGGAGCTAATATTAAGTCAGACAATTTGTCGCAGGTAATGAAATATTTTTAAAAGTCTCCAGGAGGTTATGAGTTTTATTGTTACCATTTAAAAGAACTGACGAACAATTAACTTTTAAAATCAGATATTACAGTAACACTAAAATCTGTGTTTTAATTAAATTACAATGTATATATTTGTTTACCCTGTATTTTAAACATGAACATAATTTTCAATTGTATTTTTGCATTATTTTCATACATTATAATATTAGATATACATTTTATACTGTAGCTAAATTAAACCTAAATTTCAAGTGTTCATGGACCTTGTTGACTGGTGCCTGTGTGCTTGTAAAAAATAATTAAATTTAAAATAATACAAAAAATAAAAGGAATATCATATTTGTGATACAATTGGACACTAGTTCATTATATTACTGGTAAATTTAGTGTCAAATTGGAAAATCCTGGTATGCTCAAATCTATGCACAACTTAAAATTATATAAATACATGTATTGACACCCCCCCCCCCCCCCCCCCCCCCTCCCCCCCAAAAAAAAAAAAGAAAAAAAAGAGGTTTTGATCATTCCCATATTAGTTTCATAGTTTGTAGAATTATGTTAAAATGAAAATCTTGTTATATGAAAACAAAATGAAAATCTTGTTATGTGAAAACAAAATTATGACAATGTGAATTCATTCTATTAGAACTTTTGTCAGCGGACTTTAAAATGGCAATCTATTCTGTGATGGCTAAACATAATTCTACTACAGCATGCAATTAAGCAATCATGCTATATAGAATCTATTTGTTGTGTATAGATACATCTTTTGATCAATACCTAATAACATTTCCTAAGGTTGACAAACTCTGGTTTATAGCAGAACCCTCTTTGAGACGGTCCCCTGTTGCTCCTGTTGAGTCTGCTCTCTCACTTCCAGCCAAATCCACCAGATTAATATCACTACTTCTGGTGTTACTTCCTCCATCTGTTTGGAACACCTATGATAAAAAAACGCAATATATAATAACTGATTCCCTTCTTCAGATTCTAATGCATTTTGGGTACTATTCTGTAAAAAGTGCATAGAACCATTATGATAGGTTAACAAGGTCCTTAACAATGAATATGTAACAAATGGGGTATTACTATTTACATTCCTGTGTGCAAACAACAAAAAACCTTCAATCCTTCAAATTCTGAAACAGGGAGTTTCCCACGGTCACATTTGAGTATTGAAATGCCCTTATGTAAAATTCAATTTCAACTTTATTTTCTGCTTATATTATTCTTAAAGGCCTGATTTAGACTTTGACATATTGTATAGACACTCACTGGTCTATTATTGGATATCCTAGCTCCAGAGTTCTCGAAAAGTGGTGGTCTGAAGGTGTTGACCACTAAAATTTGAAATGGACCAACACAATTTTTGTATTTTGCATTAGAAATAAAAGTGAAGACCAGCAGATTTTCTTCAAGGACCACCAGGGACAAAAATATTTCTAGAACTGTGTAGCTCTAGATGTCCTTTATTTTGTTTTAAAGTGTTATTGCCATTTTCAGTCATGTCTAGTTTAATCTGTTTCCATTTGTAAAAGATTGAGAAAATTTTATTGTTACTTTTATTTTGAGTTATAGTGGGGTTTAATACATGTATATGAGATATAAATATGACCTTCACATTTTTTACAAATTCTATAGGTTTTCTTTCAAATAAAACCTCCTGGTGTAAAATTTCGCTGCAATCATTTTATTTCATATCGCTATATTTCTAAAGCTATCTTCTGGGTAGTACATGGAACAGTCAAACTGAGGATACCTGTAAGAGCACGGCCACTGTGGCATTAACATAAAATAGTTAGGTATTCATTATATTGCTTTAAAAATTTCCCCTGTCCATTAAGCTAACAACAATCAATCAATCAAGATCACATCTGCATACACATTAATATAACTACTGATTTCATCGGTCAACAATTATAAAATAAAAATATAAACATTAAAGTAATAATAGTTATGTTTTAAATTCAAAAATTAATCGTATATATTACAAAAGTATCAAATATTGGCATTAAGTGGATACTCCCTTTTAATAAATACATTTTATAATCAACATCTCAGAAATTTTCTGATAATAAAACTAAACCGGTAATCAGTCTCATCTAATTACGACCTTTCTGAAAGTTAGAAGCAAAAATCTTGATGACATTTGACCTTGCACTCATATGCATTTAAGTTTGAAAAACCTTCCACTCTGGTACAAAAGATACATTTTGCAGTCATGGTTATAAAAATTGTCTTAATGTATTCTTTCTTTATACCCTGTGTATTTGACATTTAAAATTCAAACGCAATTATCTTGTAATGGCATCAAAATGTATTTTTAATCCCATGATCAAACTCTGTATACATTGATTTTCCATCAGCTACGTACATTAATCAAATCGTTTTGTAATGTTTCTACCATGAATATATTTATAACAAATTAACCAATTATTCAACCGTTGTACATAAAACTTTTGTATAATGTAGGAAATAAATGTAAATGTTTCCCCCTCTTTGCAGGCCAAGAAGAGAAGTTTTGGAAACACTTCTTTTGAACTCTCTTATTGACGGAATAAGCATAGACATACATTAAAAGGGGGGTTCAAAAGGAAGTCTTTCCAAAGTTTTGACGAGGCAAATTATTTTTTCTTAATTTCACAGAACTAAAGGATAAAAATTTTCCAGTCCATTAATAGAAATTTTGACAAGACAAAAAGCACAATTCTTTAACAGAATTGAAGGATAAACTTTTTCAAAGGCCAGATGGATAAACAAAATTAATCATTAAACAAAAGCCCATTCACAGTTCAGAGGCATGGTCTCTTTTACAAACTAAACAAACTATTTCTTTCACAGTCTTAAATGATGAACTCTTCCACACATTTACAAAAGGGTTAACTCTTTTATTGTCCGAAAAACTCATGCTGAAGCATTTGCTGCAACCAACAATAAGCTGGCCCAATGACCTTTTTGATTTAAGCTGAATATTGGCAACTTACTTCAACATGGTTTAACTACCAGAGGTTATAATAAGCACAAATACAAAACATTTATAAGCACATTCTTTTGCACCCAGGTTATCTTGGGCTAAAAATTCGTTCAGATGTCAGACAAAAATTTAATTAAACATTTACTATCCATTCTGATGTAATTTTACAATCTTCTTCACATCTCTTACATGCTCATAAACTCATAAAACCGTCTCAAAAAGTCATTTACTATCTTTTCTTCTCTTCCTTATTGATTCAAAATGGTACCATCATCATAGTGACCAAAAAATTGTGTTAATCATCATTTGCATTGGAATAGAACTCTTTTATATGACATGTCACATATTTATGAAGGCTTTGATTCTAATTTTAAAGAGATGCTAAATCAACTTTAGTATTAAGGAAGAATCAAAAAGGATGAATTTATAAGGTCACACTAAAACCAGGAAGTTTCAGTACAGGTGAAAACAGATCAAAATATTTAAAATACAGGTGATAATAGAAGATTCTAGTTTCTGGCCAGGTAAAAAAGGTCAATATTTCTGTGTGTACCAGGAAGTCAAAAGGTCATATACCTATGAAGGATAAGCAAGACTTTTTTAAATGCAAGATCAGACATGCAACCAACAGGACAGAAGCATGATCTCTTTACAGACTAAAAGTACACTTGTTTTCATAGCCTTAAAGAATAAACTATTCCACACGTCTACAAAAGGATTTACCCTTTTTACAGACAAAACAAACATCTTTAATATTTGAAAGCAAATAAGAAAGACACGACTTTCAAATATTACATAAAGAACTGAAACATAAAATCTTGCAAAAGCAAATATTGAGTAATTGAAGGACTTTGGCCATTGCAAGAAGGAGGAATGGTCTTTATTGATCAAGGATCGAATGTCCCCTTTTTGCTACAGCTAGTGTCAAAAAAGCCTAAAATTTTCATTGTTTTTCCTCACATCATGTATTTTTCCATTACATGTACCATTAGTGACAATGTTTTAAATTTTTTATCTTTAAACATTTTTAAAACCAAAGTTTCACTGTAAATGTTTGCTATCTATAATCTATAAAATCTTGTCTTTTTTTTGAATGTGTAAAAGCATTACAATGTTGTGAGAGAATAACAAAAAAGTAAATCATGTTAGACATTTTTATGTCTTTATTGTTCCCTTTATTGCTATTTTTTTTCCAATATACAATTATATTACCCCTTAGATGGTTAAATAACCCAGGACAAGTAGAAATCTGGCACAAAAAATATATTTTAAATCTTTCCAATGCTTTTCAATTTATTTTAATAAAAGCCCAAGACATTTTTTAAATAAGTTAAGTTCGAATACAGTAAAACCTGTGAATAATAAGCTCCTAAGAGAAGTCGAAATTTGTCCTTTGTAAGCAGGCACCCTTATTTTAAGAAAACCAAACATATATTTTAGAAGATGAAAGACAGATATTAGACTGAAGCAAAATCCTCCTTGTAACTAGTAAGTTTGCAGTGATAAAATTTTTTTTAATTTGAATTATATTTAACATCATATATATATCATGTATTTGTACCTTGAATCCCTGTTGAAGGTTCAATATAAGCTTTTTAATTTATTGGATTTTTTACCATTCCCCTTGCAGGCAAAGTTTTACTTTAAATAAATAAAAAAAAGATGGAGTAAATGAATGCAGTGAGATAGCAAGCAAACAACACAGAAAATTTTTGGAAATCTTAGCAAATATGGCTGATGGTAAAAACTGAAATACCAAGATACTACTAAATAAATATGATTAAGGTGGTACCAAACACCTTGACTAAAATAAATTTGGCCCATTTAATTTTCATTTAATTTTTACAAAATATTTTCTTTGACCCTTTGACAAAAATATAAAAATTAAAAAAAACTTGAACCCACAAACACTACTTTTGATTATTGAGAAGCTTAATAATTCCTTAACAATAGAACATGATCAGCACGTTCAGCTGATTTTTACAGAGTTATTTCCCTGTAGTGTTATGTACCACCTTAAAAGGAGATTAATGGGGATATACACCAATCAGGTAGCAATCAAACAAAACCAAACCAAAAGACATCAAAAGGTTTACATATTCTCTTCAACCAACAGGTGTCTACACTATTTGTCAAGCTCTAAATCGCCCAGTCTGGAAAAGTTGTCAATGAATTTTAACAGAGACTGCCAAAGTTATAAATACTACTGATCAGATTATGGTTTGGGAAGGCCTCATAGAATTTTAAGATCTTCTGATATCTCCCGATTCTTTTTTATCAGATAATTAGTGGCAGCAGATACAGATTGAATACTTTAAATAAAGTTTTTAGCCATTTTAACAAAAACTCTTACGAGAGAAGAATCACTTACAGGTTAAGAACAAATCAATTACAGTTTATGATAAATTTATGTCATACATTTTTTTTGGAGAAGAAAATCGCTCTAATCCATGCAGTAAAAATGGGAAATTCCCATAAGAATTCTAAATAGTAATAAACTTAAGTGTGTCTACATGTGCCTTGGAACTGAGATATATCATCCATCAAAATTGCAATTTTTAAAACCATTTTTAAGTATTTTAAGTGTTATCTGTCCATAGATGATATATCAAAAGAAAATCAAACGATGTTTCAAAAGATGAGATACATTTTTTGTGTACTTAGAAAGATATTATAATCAGGCAAAGTCTCTATAAAAATAAGGAGATGTGGTATGATTGCCAATGAGACAACTATCCACCAAAGTTCAAATGAAGTTTTTTACTATAAGTTTGTAGTGAGTAATAAAAATCTAAAATTGTGTAATTATGTTTTGTGTCATCACATCAGTACTTTTTCTTTAAAAGGTAACCCCCTCTCTTCATCCCTGCTCATTAATTTTAACAATACTTTCTATTTTCATATATTTGCCACTGGACAATAAATAACAATCATTCAATAATGAAATTGTTTATCAGGGATTTAAAACAACTAAGATAGTTTTGCAATTCTGTTTGCCATTTAAAACATTTCTTTAGCGTATATATAACTACTATTTTGTCATGTAGTATGTATATATATATCGGAAATCTTCAAGTACAAGATAAAAAAAAAAGCTTCCCTAGTAGACATGTAGTATACAAAGGAGACCTTCAAATACACAAATGTATTAGGTCTCGCTGAAATTGACCAAAAATCAATTCTAGCCATTAATTATTTCAACTTATAAAGAATTCCTCTTGATAAGACCTACATGTAAATAAATAATTACAATAATGTGTTATGCTCAGGTAAGCTGTTACAATAGGTGTTAAATTAATCTGAGTCTAAATCAATCCTTAGTCTATCACCACTAAGCTTACTTAAATCAAGCTTGTCTAGAAGCTTGTTGAGAATGTTTGACCTTATTTGGTCGTGTATAATACATACTTTAATACGGAAGATATATATCTAGTAGAGCGGATGCGTATAATGCACAACTGTTGATTTTTTTAATTATAAGAACCTTACATTTGTATCCTCTTCAATTTCATACTTTTTTTAGGCTTTTAACTCTTTTTGATTTGACTGGCACTGATGTCCTTTGTAGCCAAAACGCGCACCTGATGATAAAACTATAAGCCTGGTATCTTTGATGACTCCCCCCCCCCCCCATATGAAACAACAGTTTGGACAACTTTGCCTAAAAACTACTTTCTCACAGTCTCATACCTGAAATTTTAAAATGGCAAATATGAAAATTATGTTGTTTTCATAATCATTTGTAATTTTTTGTCTTTATAAAAGGGGTTGTCATTCTATTTTTGATTAACCAAAAGGTAGATGGGCCAATGTTAAACCTTGAGAAAGCAATCAAAAATATTCAGCTTGAGAACATGTTGATGTGATCATGAACACTAATTTGGACTAGACACTGTATAATACCATTCTAAACTGGAGTTATCATGGGTTAGCTCATTAGGTAACAAACCCCCCGAGTTTTCTTGTGGTAGCATGCTTACCTTCAGTCAGGAGGTTTTATACGGTTAGATATTTGGCCAGGTCAAACCAATGACTTTAAAATTGAAATCGGCTGCTTCTCCACTCTGCATTTTGGAGTAAGAGTAAAGAATAGTTGGCTAAGAATCAGAATAACAGACTTAGTAGGGTAACTTTTTCAAGAAGACTTTCAGTTATAAAAATGAGAAGAGTTGGTATGATTGCCAATGATCCAACTTTCAAAAAGAGGCCAAATAAAAAGCAAAAGGGTTTTACCCTTTTCAGTTAGGAATTGATCCCAGATGTAAAGTCAACCTTGTATATAAAGGTCACTCTTAGGACCAGAGAGTACTGACCTTATAATAAAGGTGACTTTAGAATTGACATTCAAAATGCATAGGTGTCAGTACAGCGGGACAAGATTAGAGTGACTAGACATTGCAGGCTTTTTGCTTAATAGAGACGACCATTATAGCAGGTTTGACTGTACTATTACTGCAAAATACTGTACGTTCCGATGCTGATATTGGCTGGTAGAGCACAAGTAACTTAAGGTGTTTACCTGTGCAAATCTAATGGTGATAACCATATGTGATCGGCTACTGGTGGCATTCATGTTTGTTGATGCAGTTGTCCTGTTAACTGTTCCCTGTTCCATTAAATTTTCTATTTCCTTATAATTACGAACAGGTACAAGCTGAAAAAGACAATTAAGTTAATTGTTTTCCATGTATTTTCTGCTTCAAAAAAATCAATTCTTCCCATAAATAACATAATGATAGGAAGAAAAATTCTATTTGATTAAAAGCAGACTCATCAATAAAATTTTAATTAATGCAATGTTTAAAAAAAGAACTTGTCTTTTAATTTTTAAAAACATTCTGATTATAATTACATGTGGATCAATGAAACCAAAATCAATAGACTTGTCTATCAGGAAACTGTGTATTTTCCTCCCCACTTATTAATACTTTTCAACAGGCTTTCAAAATTTTAATTTTTTTTTTCTTTCAAAATCATCATGAATCATGGTTTGAGTAATCTTTAAAACAATTTCCATTAAAAACACACTAAAGATCCATAATTTTCTATTTTTTTCATGATCTTACATCATCTTTCTTTCGTCTAACTAAACCTTTTGTATATAGTCAGAATACTACTACAAGGAAATTTAACGATCTTGATTACTCATGATTAGTCTCGCATAGTATTTATATTCAAACAAAAAGAGCCCAATTTTCATCTCCCTATTCAGCATTAGTAGCTTACCCTAAGTCCTTCAACATAGAATCCACTCTGAGGATTTTGTCTGATTTTCAATCCACCCTGTTGAGGTTTAGCTTTGACCAGTAGATCTCTGACTTGTTCGTTGTAGATTTCTAGCATACTAAATGAAACCTAAAAAATAAAATAAAACACAACCATCACACAAATAACTCATGGCACAATTTGTATTGCTAAAACATTTTTTAAAATCAGGAGAAATTAATATATTCTTTATTGATGCAAAACAATCCCAATTAGGAATATAAGCATACAAATAACATAAAAATGATCAATGCCAAAAAAAAAACAAACAATTATATCACTTGTGTATTATTTATTAAAGATGACATTATACATAATGTCCTCTATCCTCAACTCTAATGACCGTTTTATAAAGAATGTACCAGTGACTGTTAAAACATCACTTGGTGTTGACAGATTCTAAAGCCCTTCCTTTAAGTATTGATAACATTTGTTAAGTTATCAAAGTCATTTTCTGCAGTAATAAAACATCTAAATAATAGACCACTTTCGAGTTTGTCCGTCACTGGAAAAATCTCGTCAATTATGCGTGCCTTTATGACATCATTTACCAGATAGAGGGGATCGCCTGTATCCCTGCACTATTACAGTTCATCAAGAGTCTTAGTGATTGTCACTGTGCAGGATAAACTAGCAATAATGTTTATTCTGAAGGTACTTAATCACAATTCCCTAATGACACAAGTGCTGATTGTCAATTATTAGAATTCAATTTGCCAGATAATTCGTGCAATATAGCATCATAGTTTTCCAACCACTCGCTCAACATAGGAACGGAAGTGACGAGGCCCCTAAACGCACAAGTGATGTTCACTAAAACCAGAGTTTTTGACGGAAATGCATTGAACTCGAAAGTTGTCTATTGTTCACAGCTATTCTTAGTAAAATCACAGGACAGAAAGAAATGACATTCATCATCAATTTCATTTTAACATTTTTACAAATATAGAATTACAGTTACAGTTTTACAAATATAGAATTACGGTATCAAGAAAACCTAAAAAATATGATGCTATGAACACAAGAAACACTTCACATGGTTATAATATAACCTTCATTTTCACAAAATAGGGTTAGCATTAGATAGTTTTCATATTATACACATGAAAAAGATTGGGACATTGAAAATTTTTGACATTCATTTTTTGTGAAGGTTTGAGGTTGTCTAATTATTCACTTGCCTAGACTAGGATTGGCTTATTGCTTGACAAATGCTATAGATATCCCTGTCTAATGTTGAAGACTGTATAATATCTTTTTTAGATTTTTGGTGGTGTTGGACTGTTGGGTTACTGTTTCATTGTTGTATACCCTTACTTCTTTCATATCTGTATTCAACATTGATGCCAATTATGAATTAAAGATGTATAGATATTCATGATAAAAATAAAGATATGAAATTATAAACGTCAATGAGACAAGACAAAAAAAAAACAGAACTCCAAGACATCTAGAGAGCAATTTTCATCAACAATACACATTTGTCTACATAATATGTTTATCTCTAAATCTGTAAAAGTTGTTAAAGTGTGTATTGTCGGTCGACAACAAAAGTTATAAACCCAAGAAAATATTACTAGGTTAAGAGGAGGTGAAATCTTGAGTCCTTCAAAATATGATTTATATAAGGGACAAATGTTATATAATTTTTGTCATTATTCTCAACCTTCTATGCATACCCAATAAATATCTCAGGTATATATTTGTTTTTTGCCAAAAGTGGATTGAGGTCCTTTTATCCCTCCTTGAAAGAACCAATTCACTTTGATTTAGAATATTTTTACCGATTATTACCCATTTCAATTATTTCATAATGTAAATAAATTATCACAGTAAATTTATTTTGATTATTTACTTCAAACTTTGAGAGCAGAGCTGTTTAAAACTTCTAGGTTTAAGTTTAACTTTATAAATTTTCATGTATAAATTGTTTCCTTTTTTGTAATAATATTGATTCATTCAACAAAAATATCATGCTTCTCTGGTCATAAATACTTGGAATTTATATAATAAAATCAGACAGCATAACATGTTAGCTCAGACAATAAAAGGAAAAGTCAACATACATGCTTTAGGGATTAACATGGATTAATTCGGCTGATTAAGTAATGTAGGAGGTGTCTTAATTCGTCTATACAAATTATACCATTAATACCAAATGAATTAAAAAATTTGTTCGTCATTTCCTATGTTTTAGCTTATATATGGCTAATGCTAAATTATACCATGTACAGCCTTTCTGATCATTGTAATATTCATTTGCTGCTAATGTTTATTTTTATTTTTGTGTGGGGGTGTCAAGGACTTATAATTTTTGGCTCTAGGATGATTGGAATTATGTTTTAGAATCATCTCTATAATTAAAGTGTTTTTTTGAAAAATATGATTATTTAGTGGTTATGAGTCATTAAACCATTTTTTATACATTTCGGTCACTAGCCTTCTTCAGTTTTTCTACTATCCTTCTAACCTACATGGTAGACATGTCACTTTTCACAATCTTTTAGTTATAATTCAATATAATGATGTTAAGGATGTTCGCTCCTCTCGTTTTTTAATTTTTGCCAGATATTCGGAAACCTCTGGTTTTATCCATGTAATGCCATTAAAAATTTGCCCACTAACGCCTACTTTTCTTTCCATAATTTGATTACATATAGTTTAAAATGTCATCTTTGAAAATCTTATAAAGTCCTTGTTATTTTTTCATCGTTTTTGAAAGAAAAAGGTGCCAATGTTAAATGTATGAAAAATCTAGAGAGAATTATTTCCCGCCAAATTTTCAAAGGATTTCTACTCAGATCGATTAAGAGCATGACATATTGTACAGACACTTAACCTACACACTTGAGCATGAAATTTAGAGGAGGCCATATTTCATAGGACATATATTCCTTTTAAAAAATTTGCTAATCAAATATTGCTGACCTATCGTGTTTAATTACTGAGGAATAGGCTTCATCCAAAAACTTTATAGCATGGAAATGAGGTCAAGGTCAAGTGACAATGACTGATTGACAAGGAATCATCTTGAAAAATGTGTGTCCTCCTAAATGAAGGTGTGAATAAGATATTCAGGTTTTTGTAAATTGTTAAAATGGCCACTGCTGCCACTATAGAAATAATAATGTGCCACCCTCTGCTACGCTTGTTGCAGGTTAGACAAAAATAGTAATACAAACACAGATGGATTCCTATATGTAAAGTTGTATATGCATGTATTGATAGAGATTTATCAGGTCATATGAGAACAAACTTTCCTAAATGTCCACAAAGTCTGCATGAATTGAATTCATTCCAATAATCACACTGTTGATTCACGCAATCAATCACTTGAATGCGGTCATTTCTGTGAAATTTATTTAGATTTCAGAAAATACTAAACTGTCAACCTTGAGTGAAAACATGTAACTTAATTAATATTTTAACTATGAAATAACTTAACGCTATCACCTAGTAGAATAATTAACTGTTGGTTATCTTATTCAAAGAAATTCATACTGTAATTTTCTGGCCTAAGTTATTAACTTCTACGCATTTGAATTGTGTTTCACTATAGTCCGTTAAATTCTTTTTATTTATTTGTAGAAATATGATCTTTCTGTTTAATATTGTAATATACAATTTAAACCTCTGGTTTTATCCGTGTCGAGTTGTTATTTTATGACAAGTCAAAGAGCATTCAAGAACAATTAAAGTCATAAAATTGTATTGACTTTTCGGTATTATCATATTCAAAGTGTCGAGGCAAATTTTATCAAGTAGGGAATTATTGTCCTTGGGCACAAATTCAGGTGTCTTTAGAAATGTTATAAAACTTTGTAAACAGGTACTGCATATGTACGATCGATAAAAATGATTGTTGATAATCTACATGTAAAAATTGTATCTTTAAACTGTTATGAACATTTGGCTTATATAGTAAAGAGTTTATATCTTTTTTATATCGCATATTCCTATTGTAATGCCTCAAATTTTACGAACAATTTTATTTCTGGTATGTGATAATTTAAATGAAAAGGATAAATTAAGTATGATGGACTGACAATAAATATTTCCATATATATAAAAGTTGTAATTTTTACAAATAATTATATTTTTGGTGCGTGACAATTCTATATAAATTGAAAAGGAAGGAATAACTATGATGCAGTGACTATAAAATTAATTTTTTTTACATAATCAATTTTTTTTCAAAGGCCAAATTTAAACCTCATTATATTTTACGAATTAGTAAATTGCATGCTATGATGGATTTAAGTAAAATCACAATTTAAGAAGATATGGAAATTTTTAGTGAAATTTCAATAAATATCTTTAAAAAATCTTGTAAATTAGTTATGTAATATTTTAAAACTATCATTATATAAATGTATTTTAGAATTTTCAAATCTGCAAATCTAATCTTGTGCTGAATTCATGTGAAAATAATATGAATTTAAAATTCATTTAAAATAGCCTTTTGCTAAAAATTAATGTGAACATTTTCAAAGTTGAAAGGTCAACTATTTGATGTTGTACTTTTCTATTCCAAACTTCAATATTAAATTCAAAGAGCAACGACAACTCAAACCCAGTGTCTTGACCGACAAGTAGACCTTGAAAGGATTCTATATATTATCAAATATAATTATCCTTTAACTCATTATTAGTGAGAAATTCTGAGCTGAGGTTACAAAAAAAACTATACAGTTTTTTAAGCAGTCGTTGTTGACCCTGAAAATGAGGTCAAGGTCAACAAACATATGACAGACAGTAACTTTGTCACACACCGCATACAACCTTCTGAAATATGAATCTTGATACAAAAAGTTACACTACCACTGCCAGATTAGCATCCCTACTTCTTGCATTCTAGAACTTTCGAGACAGACAAGACTAAAAAAATATCCTTTTATCAACAAAATGTTATAGGCATGAAATCATAAAACTTGAATAACCTCACTGTATATTTACTGTTTACATGTGAACAAAACACTATGAATTAATAATTATTTAGGTGTAATATAATATTTATTGGAAATGAGATATAAGAATTAAAGGTTCATCAATTTCTGTTTATATGTGTGAATATAGTACAGTATTCATTATCAACTTGTTAATGTCTATATTGATTATCCCATGGGGTTGTAGAGATAGTTATTTTGTAATCATCTAAATTCTTGGCCCACATAAATTCAATTTTGAATGTTTGAAAAAGCATTTCAGTACTTTATGTTATGTCCCATAACGATATCTTTATACAATAATGGAACAAACAGATTTTCCATGGCAATTATTAATAAAAAAAGTATGCCAAGGATGGCAAATACAAATTTCAATTAAAACTAGAGGCTCTAAAGAGCCTGTGTCGCTCACCTTGGTCTATGTGCATATTAAACAATGGACACAGATGGATTCATGACAAAATTGTGTTTTGGTGATGGTGATGTGTTTGTAGATCTTACTTTACTGAACATTCTTGCTCCTCACTATTATCTCTATCTATAATGAACTTGGCCCAGTAGTTACAGTGGAAAATATTTTGTACAAATTTACAAAAATTTACAAAATTTATGAAAATTGTAAAAAATTGACTATAAAGGGCAATAACTCCTTAAGGGGTCAATTGACAATTTTGGTCATGTTGACTTATTTGTAGATCTAACTTTGCTGTACATTATTGCTGTTTACAGTTTATCTCTATCTATAATAATATTCAAGATAATAACCAAAAGCTGCAAAATTTTGCCTGATTGGTCTGAAAATTTCAGGGCAGATAGATCTTGACCTAATGAACAATTTTATACCATCAGATTTGCTCTAAATGCTTTGGTTTCAGAGATATGAGCCAAAAACTGCATTTTACCCTATGTATTATTTTTTTGCCATGTCGGCCATCTTGGTTTGCGGGCAGGGTCATCGGACACATTTTTTAAACTAGATACCCTAATGATGATTGTGGACAATTTTGGTTAAATTTGTCTTAGTAGTTTCAGAGGAGAAGATTTTTGTAAAAGATTACAAAAATTTACGAAAAATGGTTAAAAATTGACTATAAAGGGCAATAACTCCTTAAGGGGTCAACTGACCATTTTGGTCAAGTTGACTTATTTGTAGATCATACTTTGCTGAACATTATTGCTGTTTACAGTTTATCTCTATCTATAATAATATTCAAGATAATAACCAAAAACGGCAAAATTTCCTTAAAATTACCAATTCAGGGGCAGCAACCCAACAACGGGTTGTCCGATTCATCTGAAAATTTAAGGGCAGATAGATCTTGACCTGATAAACAATTTTACCCCATGTCAGATTTGCTCTAAATGCTTTGGTTTCAGAGATATAAGCCAAAATCTACATTTTACCCCTATGTTCTATTTTTAGCCATGGCGGCCATCTTGGTTGGTTGGCGGGGTCATCGGACACATTTTTTAAACTAGATACCCCAATGATGATTGTGGCCAAGTTTGGTCAAATTTGGCCCAGTAGTTTCAGAGGAGAAGATTTTTGTAAAAGTTTACGGACGACGGACGCAGGACGACGGACGACGGACGCAAAGTGATGAGAAAAGCTCAATTGACCTTTCAGGTCAGGTGAGCTAAAAATGTCAAACATTTGCTCATCAATGAAAGAATCCTTAAAGAAAGGATTTAAAAAAAATTGAGTTTAAAAGAGGCAGATAATGATTTGTCTAAAGAAAATCAATTCAACTCTATTCTGAAGGAAATAAAACCTAAGTTTTGCAAAGATTATAAAATTGTTTACTGAATATTTATAAAAAAAAAAAAATGTTATTACAAATTATCTCTACTGGCATTCACATGAAAAACCATCAGGAAAATTCTGGTCCATGTTAACTACATGTATCTATAAATGAAAATACACCTGTTGTAAAAATCAAAATGAAAAATAAGGTATCTGAGCTAGTACCCCAGTTTGCATACTAAATACTGTAAACCAACTTATTTTTGTGCACATTTTATTTCTATTTTATATTTATATTCATGTCATTTTTCTATAAGTGAAAGTCTTGAAAATAAATCACTCAAATATTTAAGTTGGTTAACAGTAATACTGTAGTAAAGAATGCTTGTAGTTACTGAAACCACACTGAAAGTACTTAACTTGTTGTTTAATTTCATGGTGTCCTACACTTAAATTTGATCAAAGCAGAACATCATGTTTACTTTTTTCTCACCTGTAATTGTTTACTTTTTTCTCACCTGTAATTGTTTACTTTTATCATCATTTTGTTCAGCAGCTTTGAACAGCTCCTCACATAAGATCGGTACAATGCCTTTATTTGATCCATATCCTATCATAGAGTAACTCTTGCCTGATCCTGTCTGCCCATAGGCAAACAAGGCAGCATTATAACCTTGCCAGGCATTGTCTAACACACCTTTACCAAGGTCATTATATACTTGTCTCTGCAAACAAAAATATGGTGTTCAATTCAATTTTCTTTATTACTGTATTTGTGGATGGTTTTGTTGTGCCATCACCTTTCAGGCTGAGAAAAGTTACTCCCCATACACTGTTTTGAAGCCTTAGTGTGTATGTACAAAAAAAATGATGTACACATACATGGTTTATTAACATTTTTGTTACAAAAAAAGACACCATTGCTGCCACCAGTGAAATGGGTAATGAATATAGAATTGCCATAACAAAGCAAACAGTTTTTTGAATTTTTTTAAAATTAGACAGTCAGTTCTAAACTTTCAAAGCCATGTATATATATATCAACTTCAATTTTGAATTTACCAGTATATGTTATGTTGATAAAGATCTACACTCTTAGGGACAAAACAAGTAGATTTTACCTTGGGATTTTAACATGAACAGCTATAACATATATAGTAAAACTGAAGGGCTTATCAATGAATCAATGAATTTTAACACTATAAAGTTTGATCTAGTGTGTTAAAATCTCCATATCAAAATCAATGAACGAACAAACAAATGATCAGCACCAAAATTAAATTCAAACAACTGTATATTAGATATTCTGGTATGTCCTTGATATTTCAATCATATTCATAAATAAAATACCACTAAGGAATTTACTATTACCACTGCTTAAAAACCACAATATGATCTTTTTATCTACTTCAAATAGTTAAAATCGATAACAAATAAAAGGAGCAGTAATCTCTCTGTCATAAAACAAACACTAACAATCTGGTGTTATTTTCATTGTCAATTGTATTTTTTTCCTTCAGTCAAACCATGGAAGTATTATATTGACATACTTCCATGGTCAAACGTTGATGTTGGTATGCTTTAAATTAACTACAGAATAGTCAAAATAATTCTGTGCCTTGATCATTTTCTTTGACTAATATGATATAACATGTGTTTCTTTAATTTTTTGTTCTTTTCCTGAGGAAGTTATATCCCCCAAATTGTTTGATAAATAAAGGCAACAGTAGTATACCGCTGTTCGAAACTCATAAATCGATAGAGATAAAAACAAATCCATGTTAACAAACTAAAACTGAGGGAAACGCATCAAATATAAGAGGAGAACAACGACACAACAAAAACACAACATTAAAATGTAACACACACAGAAACGAACTATAATATAATAATGGCCATTTTCCTGACTTGGTACAGGACATTTTAAGAAAAAAATGGTGGGTTGAACCTGGTTTTGTGGCAATACGCCAGACAGCTGAGCAGTAAAGACAAAACCAGTGAACAGATGTCTATAGTATACAGTACACAAAGGGGTGCATCCAAGATTTTCAGGAGGGAGCATTATTCTAGAAAAGGGAATGCATCAAGGAGAAACATAAGAAAACCTTTTCTTTCTTTTTTTTTTGGGGGGGGGATCAATGGGGGGCTTGGCCCTCTATGCCTCCCTGGATCTACCATGGACACATAAGATCAGATCAATCAAACTAAAGAGATCACTCTTACTGGTATTAAGTGAATCACTGAGAAACATGGCATTGGATTGTTTAAGATTTGTCGTGACATTAGTCTAATTCATAAGGTTCTACACTACGAAGAGAAATTTGTGTGTACCAGAGTTGTTGAAATCTATTTGGAGTTTGTTAGTCCTTGTAGCTTGTGAATTTTCTGTAATTATTTATAGTGTAAATCACTCCTGATTTTTGGTGATCCTGGTCAAAATTTACCAGTCAGGACTCACTGATGAATTTCTCTGGTGAACTGTATTTATTCTTTATATTTTTCATAGTTATTTTTTTCTATGTAATGATACCAACCTGATCACTGTAGTTAGATCCTGCTTTTGCAACATTAAGTCCAAGTTCATTCTCGTCAAAATCAGTATGTGACCAGTAAGAATGGTCAAAAGAGAATACCTTTGTCTCGTTATTCTCTGGGTTTTTGATGGTTGTTGTTTGTCCAGACATTGATATGATGCACTTTGACCCTGCATTTTTCTCTCTCTGAAAATGTAAAAAAAAAAATATTTTGAAATATTTCAAAGAGTTGCATTAGTTTCTTAACTTAATATTCCTGTACATGTGTCACTGTGTATTCTGAATTCATGTGCTGTGTTGGAATTTCCAAGTTAAGATGGTCCTTAATACAGGAGCAAAACAAGTGTATTCCATACATCAATATATCTATGAATATTGGTATGACAATTTTGTAAAAATCATTTTGTTCCTTGCATATCTGTCAGAATGTGTATTTACAGTACAGTACCTTACCACATATGCATGTCCCTGTTCCAAGTCAGGGACAGTGCTTGCCTTAAGTTATATCTTAAATTCTTAATGTTATGTTATCATATAGGGAATATACATGTAGTATTGATGGCAGACCTTTTGTAGTCTTCGTTTAATTCAACCACGAAACACCTTTTTTTCAATGCTCTTTAACTTTGAAATGGAACTGTTTTGATTCAAGCGCAGCTAAGGATAGTGTCTTTTGTAGACCTAGCACACATCTTACATGCTAATATTATAAGTCGGGTATCTTTGCTAAGTTTTGCCAACAATTTTTCAAGAACCACAAATTCAGGACATTTCAGAGCTTGATGTAACATATAGACATTCTGTCTATTGTTGAAGACTATATGTTGACCTCTAGATATCTTTTTTTTAGTGTGTTGTTGTGTTGCTGTCTCATAGACATGAATGTTATAACTCCTTTCATTCATAAAAAAACAAGAGGAAATTTTACAACTTGGTTTCTAGATTTTAATTGTTAAGTTTGAAACAAGTATGTTTGTGCCCTTCGGCCACCAATATTATGGCCACTTTATTTGACACTTTATAGTTCCGAAATTTTCAACAGAAACCATTATCTTACATGAAGGACAGTTTTCTGAAGGACAGTCATGACAGTTTTCCGAGTTTGTGCAAACATAAATGAGTGTACAATTTGTAAAAGAATTTCAAAGTTTATTGGACACACTATAAACAAATATATTGGACATACAATAAATTGTATTATGAAATGAATATGAAGTGAAATTTTTGTTTCATAAGTGAATATCACATTTGAAGGCATGTGGTTTTCTGCACAAAAGGTTTCTAAGATTTATAGAAATACAAATAAAACATACAAATACAAAGACAATTCTATCATTGTCAATGTCTCTAATCTTCTTTTTCTTGCTTTGATATCAAAGGTATGCCAAACAGGGGAGGTAATTATACAACCCATTATTGTATTTGATGCTAAGTACCTTATAATAAATAAAATAACAATTTAAAGTACTAAGTACTCAAATATCACTTATTTTTATTATTTTACAACACTACACCCGGGTAGCATTAAGTTTAAAAGCACTACAGGGAATTTTGACAATTGTAATTCAAAATAAAATTTTAAACCTTGAAAAATTTCAAATGAACTATTTATATAAACCATCATCATTATCTTTCCATTTTTTATATATTTTACTTATTATTTAAACAATTTTTGTCCTTAATCATATAAAAAAATGTACAAGAACACCAGGTGAAATGGGATTAAATATGTATACAGGTAATTATGTAATTATTATAACAGCTTACTTTTATTGATGTCATAATGTATAACAGGGACAATTTTTTACAGTTCTATATAACACAACAGGTTATAAAGTGTTTATTACCAATTTAAATAAATCAATTCTTAACACTTATATGTGAGCCACTCAGCATGCTTGAACTATACCCAATAAGAATACTCACTAAGACTATATCCTGTTATTACTGTTTTCAATTTTTTTTTTTTTTAAATAAATTGATTGTCATAAATTTTACATAATAATAAAAAAGTTCTATACCAAACAATCTAGGTGGTCCTATAAAGGCCCTTCAGAATCAAATAAAATACACACAAATACCACAAAACATCAACTATTTACGTATAATGTAACTAAAGGGTTGAATCCTAGAGGAATGGGCATTTCTATGACGTTATCAAATAAACTATTTCACAAAAATTAACATCCGAATTTGAAATTTACTATCAGTGCTATTGATCAAGATGATCTAAGAAGATACACCTTAGTAATAACATGTGCTCCTATAAAATCAGTGGGATTACCATTTTCTGAATCACTATGCAAATAGACTCTCATCCTAAAACTCTAGAAAAGGGTATGCATCAAGGAGAAACATAAGAAAACCTTTTCTTTCTTTTTTTTTTTTTTGGGGGGGGGGGGGGCAGGGATCAAGGGGGGGCTTGGCCCTCTATGCCTCCCTGGATCTACCATGGACACATAAGATCAGATCAATCAAACTAAAGAGATCACTCTTACTGGTATTAAGTGAATCACTGTGAAACATGGCATTGGATTGTTTAAGATTTGTCGTGACATTAGTCTAATTCATAACGTTATACACTACAGAGACATTTTAGACTGAATCACCCTGTGTGTACCAGAGTTGTTGAAATCTATTTGGAGTTTTGTAAGTCCTTGTAGCTTATGAATTTTCTGTAGTTATTTAAAGTGTAAATCACTCCAGATTTTTGGTGATCCTGGTCAAAATTTACCAGTCAGGACTCACTGATGAATTTCTCTGGTAAACTGTATTTATTCTTTATATTTTTCACAGTTTTTTTTTCTATGTAATGATACCAACCTGATCACTGTAGTTAGATCCTGCTTTTGCAATGTTAAGTCCAAGTTCATTCTCGTCAAAATCAGTATGTGACCAGTATTTGAAATTTGCTATCAGTGCTATTGATCAAGATGATCTAAGAAGATACACCTAAGTAATAACATATGCTCCTATAAAATCAGTGGGATTACCATTTTCTGAATCACTATGCAAATAGACTCTCATCCTAAAACAAAGTTTTGTACCTATGTTGTTGTCCCTCTTGCCAGATTAACAAAAATGTGCACAGGTCTTACAAACAAAAAATTCTAAGCATACCCCATTTATTACCGGTATTCAAAGTATCAGAAAACAGGAACAAGGTGTCCTAAAAAGGGCAACAGCTTACAACTCATCACTGACCGATGAGCTGCTGACCTAATGTGAAGTTATTCTTTCAAGTTTTGGTAAAATGTGCAATGAAAATTTTTAAGTTCATTTAAACATATTAAAAAATTCAAAGTACATGTATCGGCAAACAGGAAGCAGGCATCTGAGTCAGATCTGAAAAATGTCAGCACATTACAACTCATCACTGACATTCACTGCCAAGCTGCTTACCAAATATGATGGCATTCTGTTCAATAGTTTCTGAGAAAAGTGTGTTGGACAAACAGATGAACAAAAGGATGGACAAGGTGATTGCCCTAAGCCCCAATTCTAGAGTAGGGGTATAATTAGAGTTGTTAATTCAATAAGATATTATTCATCAATACATATATCATATGGTTGTCAGCAGCTATTCTCTCAGCTGACATACTAATAGAAAAGATTTTTCATCTTGTCATGAAAAAAATATGATTACTTATTGAATTTTCCTAGAAAAGAATAAGAATCACTTATTTATTTTACTTTTAAACTAGTTGGCATCAGAACAGGAGAGGAACCAAGAAAGTGGATAATTTAAATTACACTCAATTTCTGTTGCCCCCTCCTTCCTGAAAGCGGGTTGTAAAGGATTATTTGTGTGCAATTTTTATTCATGTTTTCTGCTTGAAGCTTATTATTCACTGTAGATCCAGTAGTACTCCTCCACTATCAGGAAAAGAACTAGATAAAATGTTTTTGGTTTTTAAAGGAGATAATATTACACTAATTGTTTAGAGCGTCGTCTAGCAATCTTCATAAAACTATCTAACAACTTGATCAAAGGGTAGATCATTCAATTTCAAAACACAAGAATTCTGAAATGTTTCTAAAATAAATGGACATTTGAACTATTTTCCTTTCAATTATTATATAAATAATTGTGATTTCAATTGGATATTTGATCAAAGTACCAGACTTTATTTTTGTCAATGTCACAAAAGTAATTCTTGAGTTTGATGAATTCTTTAGAATGAACATTTGATCTAGTAAAAAGTAAGTCAAAAAGGACTTTTCAATTATTTAATAAACACTTTGAAATAATTTAAATCTTAAAACTTAATTAGCACTCAGATATTTTTGTGCAATGTTTTTTATATCATTTTTTTAGTAAGGTTTTTAATTTTCTTTTAAATATTAATCTTTATTTTTATTTTTTTTTTATTTTTATGATCTTCCATGCACACTTCCCTCAACTACCATTCTCCAAGAATTCTCAACCATTCAACCAGAGCCCATTCTAGACAGAAAAAAAGCCAACGGTCTTCTTGTATGTAATTGTTTCTTTAATCTGGAGTAGATTCAGGCTGTGTGAGTTCTAATTCACACAAATTTTTAGATGAGCCATTGAATAAGGTAAACAATTGCTGAAAATTTTTTTTTGGAGTTTTTTCAAAGTACATGTGCACTTGATTTTTAAACATAAATGTAACGATCAATATTAAACTTAATAAAAACTGTTTAACATATCGAAATCTGAACATGTATGCAATTTTTAATATTGGAATTTAAGAAGAAACCAAGGAATGAATGATCTATTACACCATACAATGCTAATATGGTAATTTACATTCATGACTTATCAAATGTTTCAGTGACCTTAAACCATGAAATTAAAAAAATTATAAAATTATACAACCCTGGGAGATTAATCAATTTAAAAGTACACTCTAAATTCACAGGGCATCTATTACTTTTTTTTTTTTTTCACAATGAATACAAATCCCTTAATTCATATTTTACATTAAAACAAACCTTATCAGCAATATATGGATTTCTTCTTACATTTCAATAAGACATGCTAATTTGTCATGGAGAACCTAATTTAATATCACTTTAAATCTTATAACCTGTCATGCTGGTTTCAATACACACTATATTACCATTATAATAAATCTATATATTTGATAGCTTTTTTACATTCAAAATTTTTTAGTCATTCGAAATGTTTCCTTACAAATTTTCTATTCAACTACCGCGTTTTCAGAAAACCTTGGCAGGTTTCAAATTTTCTTTTTTTGTTTATTTGATTTCATTTACGATAATATGTGGTTTTATTGAATGCATTTGAGGTCCTTGCACTGACTTTAGAAAAGGCTTCATTACATTGTAGGAGTGCTGAATAATACAGATTTAAGACCTGGGACATTCTTGAACTATTTCAGAATGTGATGAAGCTCACGCTATTGACATACAAAACAGAGACCTCAAAATAAATGATCTATTTGAACATACAAAACAGAGACCTCAAAATAAATGATCTATTTTGACATACAAAACAGAGACCTCAAATTAAATGATCTATTTTGACATACAAAACAGAGACCTCAAAATAAATGATCTATTTTGACATACAAAACAGAGACCTCAAAATAAATTATCTATTTTGACATACAAAACAGAGACCTCAAATTAAATGATCTATTTTGACATATAAAACAGAGACCTCAAAATAAATGATCTATTTTGACATACAAAACAGAGACCTCAAAATAAATGATCTATTTTGACATACAAAACAGAGACCTCAAAATAAATGATCTATTTTGACATACAAAACAGAGACCTCAAATTAAATGATTTATTTTGACATACAAAACAGAGACCTCAAAATAAATGATCTATTTTGACATACAAAACAGAGACCTCAAATTAAATGATTTATTTTGACATACAAAACAGAGACCTCAAAATAAATTATCTATTTTGACATACAAAACAGAGACCTCAAAATAAATGATCTATTTTGACATACAAAACAGAGACCTCAAAATAAATGATCTATTTTGACATACAAACCAGAGACCGCAAAATAAATTATCTATTTTGACATACAAAACAGAGACCTCAAAATAAATGATCTATTTTGACATACAAAACAGACCTCAAAATAAATGATCTATTTTGACATACAAAACAGAGACCTCAAAATAAATGATCTATTTTGACATATAAATTGACATAAAAAACAGAGACCTCAAAATAAATGATCTATTTTGACATACAATACAGAGACCTCAAAATAAATGATCTATTTTGACATACAAAACAGAGACCTCAAAATAAATGATCTATTTTTTGGAGTTCTAGTTGATAATATATTGCCTTACTTTTTTTTTTTTATTTTACATATTATTAACATCAAGTCATCGTCATCATCATCAACACAGTAAACTCGTCCAATGGAGTGATATTTTTTTGTGGGTATAATATAATATAAATTCAATATTTTGTACCATATTATGGCTTAAGATGAAAAATTTAAATGCGTCCAATTAAACTGATAATTTAGAAGCTATAAATAAAAATGATGAAAATAATTTTTTTAATGAAGAGGGTTTTTAATAGAATTAAGAGTGACAAAAAATTTTCAATTCTTTTGCAAAAAGAGACGAAAAAATCCTGATATTTTTTCTCAGTTTTCTCATTTGCAATCAAATAAAATTTGCTTTCTCCATAAGTGCAACGAAATTTACCAAAATATATTCAGTAACTGTTATCTTCATATACAGTTTATAAATCATATTGTGACACAATAAAATCGATCTTAAGATGGAACCAAACAATTATGATTTCATTATATTAATATCCATGCAACAAATTGGTATCATATATATGATATTCCTAAAATCACTGATTTCTATCTCATCATTTCATTTTCTACTAAAAATTGCTAATATCGAAAGTGGAATGTGTATTGGAATCTTACCTGATTAAATGGTCTTACGCGAACAGCAACCTTCACACTATCTCCAGGCATGCTTGTGTATTCTCTTTGAATGTTGCCAACCTTATGTCGTGTTTTATATAAATTCCGTGATTTTATAAATCCAGATATTTGAACTGATTTCCGGTCACAATCATCTTAATTAAATTTATTTGACCGCGGTATTTTGAGTGCAAGTAAACATTTCACGTGTTTACCTCTGTTGCGATGTTTCGTGATAACTGACAGGTACCCGGAAGTAAAGACCAATCAGATTTCACAATACAAAAGATTCCCATGGAGGCGTGACTTGATGACAGCTGATCAAATGTCAATCTCGGGTGAGAAAGAATGTCCAAATTAACTTACTGTGAAAAAAAGACAATTAACAAATTAAACTAAATAATAAAGTAAATAATTAAAGAGAGATGCATCAGTAACATGAACAGTAACCTTTAATATTTTTTAAATCCATGGCCATTATCTAGGACTTAATATTATATAATGTTAGATCAGCATATGGGTATGTTGATAATATTTTGTTCAAGGATTTTGTTGTAGTATTGTTTTTTTTAACTTGTGATTTTTAATGTCCCTTTAATTGGTATGTGATGCCTTTTTTCTAAACCTATAATATTTTTACCAATTTCTCTTGTGTTTCAAAAGACCCGTCTAAATTTCATTTAATTGATAAATTCAACAACACTTACCGTGTATCGTGATGATATTTTTTCGTTAAATAATGGACGATGATGTTCCTCTGGCACCATCTTACGGTGTTTATATATCCCAACTTGTTCGTTATGTCCGTGTCCGAAGTGACGTTTTGGATTTCAATGAGCGTAATCTATGTATTACTGGTAAATTATTAATTCTGAGATTTCGTTACCACAAATTACTCAAATCCTTTACTGAAATCTTCCATATATACAAAGTTTCGGTTTTGCAAGTTTGACTGTACCTGTAAAAAAACCTTATTTCAGACGGAATAGCACATCCCAAATTTTATGGTGATGTTGTTTACCGAGCCCGGAAATTTATATACGATCCGGGTAAACTTATCAATCCTTAAAATAAACTTATTCTAAAAGGTTACCAATTCAACACTGTAATTAGATCTTTGAATATTGTTTTTATTGGTATAAATATTGTTTTTGTTATCAGTAAATTAAAATCATACCAATAGTTTTTTTTATACACATATGCACTTTAACGATTGGCAACTCCGTGAAATCCCGTTAAAAAACGCGGCCCGGAATGAGATTCTCGTCGATAATTATTCTACAACATGTAGACAAGTCAGGGATGAATAACCTCGATAGCTAATCAAGAAAAGTAATAGGAAAACTTATTTCAGATCAAATAAATTCTTTTTCTAAAAAACTACTTGAAATAGTTGTATTTTTTTTAATGTATTTGATTGAGAAAATATTTTTTTCTTTTTTTCGGCATTTCTTTTAATTTAAAAAGTAAAATCTGGTAATGATCATGATATTACAAGAAACATTTCTTTGCTAAAGTTTGCTTCTAAATTACACAGTGAAATTATGTGTGTCCGATTTTCCGGTCATTATTTCCTAAGAGTTGTGACTGTGGATTCACAGGTGTGCGATTACGCAATTTATTGCCCTCCGATCACCTGAATTTTGCCGGAGGTGAAGTTCTAAGTGGATTATTACTTGGTAATTGTTTTTACAACTAAACAAATTCTGACATTATTTTTACCATGACCAGAACTTTATTTTAACAGAAACACTGGGCTATACTATGAATAGGGTAAACGGACAGAAAGTCACAGGACATAAAGTCACAAATTGGATAGGACAAAAAGTCACAAATAAATTATTGAAAATTGTTTGAATATATAAGAGAAAGATCTTCAAATAATATCTTTTTTTACATTTATTCATTTTCAAGGTCAGGAAATTGTTCATAAGCCTTGATAAATGAAAAATTATAAAATTTTAATCATGCAAATAATATATTTCTTGGCACCATGAAGCCATTTAAGTGCCAAACCACTTTGACATTTTGTTATCATAACAATTATTTGATCATCATTGATATTTATTGAATAAATTTTAATTACAAAGTTGCTTCATATATTATAGTTCAATAAAAAAATCAAAAAATTATTTTTAAAATTAGTGTTTTCTTGTTCAGAGAAAAATAATCTCAAAACTGAATTGTGACTTTTCGTCCGTGACTTTTTGTCCTGTGACTTACTGTCCTACATTCTACTATAGTATTCAATCAGGAACAAAAATAGTCATTTAACATGTCAAAAAAAGAAATCAGAAAGCAACTTTTTTATATAAAAAAATTATGTAGCCAGTAGAATTTTGTCTCGTGGAAAACGGATTTAAATGATTAATTTTTGATTGACCTACAATTACATTATTTGTGGAACCTTTGCATGAATTTCCTAAATGAACGTACATTATGTACAGTGTTGTCGAAATCACTATTTTTGCTGTCATGAAATATTGAATATGAATCTGTCATTATTTGTAGTTTTTTATAGACTTAATATCACAGACCCTGATTAAAAACAACGTGTATCATAAGTACAGTAAAATGCTCTGCTGAACTGTAGAATTTTAATGTTCTGTTTCATAGACCACAGAAGTACTGCAACATCCTTATCTTTACTCTTTCCTATCGGGTAGTGAAACTCGAGTTTGAAATTAGAAAGATTTAAAATTGAAGACAAGTTTTATCTGATCTTTTGTGGGTTTAAGTTTCGGTGCAGTGCTATGTGGGCTGTTATTTTCTTTTCATTTGTCATTTTTTTATCTGTGTTACATGACCTTGTACTTTTTGTATTGCCCCTTGACATCTCCTGCTTCTGTTTAAACCTTTACCACTAATATCTCATCTGGTTTAAATAAAATAGTGTCTCATTCCCGGAATTTGTTCTACAGGAATTCATTTTAATATCAGTTTTTATAAGCATATAAACTGCTTGGTCTCTTCACACAATTTATGTTTAGGACGGAATGCATCAATAGGTACATACATGTACCAGGTCAGCAATATATAAGTACACGTTATGTGCTTTTGACCTCCACAAGAATTCTTAAACATTCATAGATGTGCAAAGAATATTTTTGTAGTTGGGTTGTTGTCTCATTGACATATACCTCACATTTCTGAATAGTCATAGCAGCTGTGCCTTTTCAATTTATTGCAGAAAATATTTGCATTAACATTTTTCAAAATAGGCGAGGTGAAACAGTGATCACAGAATGAGGACATGTAAAACTGAAACAACAGAACACAACAGATAAATTTAAACAAGCACCATTGCTAAAGGACTGAAACAAACATAGATGATGACTAATATGAGCGACTAGTAGTGTACAAGTAGAGTGAACATTTCTTGCTTCTTATTCTACACATTTTGTCATTTCATGTAAACAATTTAATATGTTATTTTCCGAGGAGAGGAAGGAATTTGTGAAACGAAATATTTTGCCTTTAGTACTGTCAAGTTATATATTCACAGGAGTGTTGTTGAATAAATGAACATTTTCCCTTTTTTTACATTATGCTACCTTTATGCTACAAAGGTAGCATTTCCATTCTCATGATATACAAAGATATTATAGAGTGGCCTTCCAATGATAGTCATACATGTAAATCATTGTCTCATTGGCAATCATACTACATGTACATCATCATATTGTTATACATGTATGTAAAAATTATGTACATGTATACTTTGTAAACGTAAAGAAGACAAATGAAGTTGAACACAAGATATTTATTTGAATTTTTATCCGTATAGTCTCTGCACAACTGCCACTTCTGTTTCAAATTCAATAGATTGAATGCAGAGTCTTGTATTTATTCTTAGTTCAATGTCACCATCACTTGCACAAAAATCGCATACACATGTACATCAAGTTTGGCATATGAACTATGATATTTGAACTACAATAATGTGGTGTTTTCACAGTCAGGATAAGCACATGTCATTTTCTCTCTTACAAAACCATTTTTTAGTATCACATTGATAGTAGTACATGTAATCGGTCCACTACACGACTGTGCAGTAACATTTGAAAAAAGTCATCACTAATAGTTGTTCCTGTCTGCCAGGGAATCTTTTTTTCAATCAGAAAGGCTAGGGAGTCCTACATTCAGCACATGTATGATATTACATCTCTTTTATGCTGCACTGTTAGGTAAATTTGATCAACATCTTTGTTCTTTTATAACATGCAGGATCCTGTTAAAAAAAAAATGCTGTCAGATACTGAATGTAAATATACACTTGTAAATGTCATCAAAGTGGTGGAAATAATGAAAAAAACAATTTATATACACAAAACCGGTATGTCTTGGGAAAGTAATTCCTGTGATCAATGGTGATGGGTACATTTGTTCTTTAAAGATGGACAATTTTATAAACTGTAGCCATGGACAGGTGCCTGTCTTTATATTGAAGAGAATGAAAATGGCCGACAGCTTGAATGGTCATTTTTAATTGTAAATTGCATCAAAGCTGGTGAAAATATGGAAAAAACAACTGTTATACACAAATCCAGTATGTCATAAGAAAGTAATTCATGTGCTGGGAATAATTATTCTCTAAAGATGGAAAAGTTTATTGACTGTAGACATGGACAGGGGCCTGTCTTTATATTGAAGAGAATGAAAATGGCCGACAGCTTGAATGGTCATTTTTAATTGTAAATTGCATCAAAGTGGGTGAAAATATGGAAAAAACAACTGTTATATACAAATCCAGTATGTCATACGAAAGTAATTCATGTGCTGGGAATAATTATTCTCTAAAGATGGAAAAGTTTATTGACTGTAGACATGGACAGGGGCCTGTCTTTATATTTTAAAAATTGAACGTGGCCGACAGCGAGAATACTGAATTTTAATTGTAAATTGCATCAAAGTGGGTGATTTAATGAAAAATTCAACATATTTACACAAAACCAGTATGTCTTGGGAAAAGTGATTCATCTCATAAATGGTTTTATTCCTTTTTGAATGAAAAGGTTTTAATAAAAAATACGTCCGTGTAAAAATTTTTCATAAGTCCATGTCGGCCAAGCTTTCCCCTTATTATTGACCACAATAAAACGTTAATCGTCACAATATTTTAACTAACAATTACTACAAACTGAATAAAACAAGGTAAATAATTAACGAAATTGAAATATATACTTACATTATGCTGTTTTGAAAAGCTTGATGTAAAATAAAAATCGAAGCGGTGGTGAACTTGTCA